GTTTTCAATTCCGGACGGCTGGTCATGTAGGGGGAAGTTCCTCTTTTCTCGCGTCATCGGCACTTGCACCGCTGGGCTGAATATCTGTTGTTGTTGATGTCCATATATAACTTCTGTGTGCCTCCCCACTCGCATCTCGCGCCGTTTGCTTGCCATTCATCTGTCCATCTGCCTCTTGTAGCATTTCAGCTTGCGCCTTGATCCGTATCGATCTTAATTAGACCGGCTGGTCGTACACGGCTGTGTTATTATACTATATTATTGACTCTACCGATATCCATCTATCTATTCGTCGGCTCATATCTCCATCCATCTCATTGTTCCTTTGCACCTAGGAGAACCATGTCTCCTGCCGTTGTGCACCAGGATGTCTCCGACACCTATGATATCGGTACGATTTCTTTCAAGCTTCCACCAGCATTGGTACTAACTCGTTTGTCGTGGCAGTGATTGTGGGAGCGGGGCCTGTAGGATTGATGCTGTCTACATGTCTCTCGCGATGGGGCTACCGTATCAAGCATATTGATAACAGACCAGAGCCGACGGCGACGGGTCGAGCCGATGGCATCCAACCTCGATCACTCGATCTCCTGCGGAATATGGGTTTGAAGTCTGACATTATGGCTCACAAGCCCGCCCGTGTCTTTGAAGTCGCTTTCTGGGACTCAGAGTCGAGCAAGGGCATCGGTAGGACGGGTACTTGGGCCAGCTGCCCCAACTTTATCGACGCCCGTTATCCATTCACCACGTTGTTGCACCAGGGCCATATAGAGAGGGTGTTCATCAACGATCTTGAAAAGAATGGTACTACCATTCAACGGCCGTGGACAATCACTGGCTTTCAGTCGCACAGCCCTGAGACGTCAGAATATCCTGTTCAGGTCGAACTGGAGCATGTCGACGGCACGGAAAAGCAGACCATACATGCAAAATATCTTTTCGGAGGCGAGGGCGCGAGGTCATTTATCAGACAGCAACTTAACATTGGCTTTCATCATAAGGACCCAATCGCCCATGTCTGGGGAGTAATGGACGGAGTTGTCAAGACTGATTTCCCGGATATCAAGGTTGGTCCTCATATCTCGTGGAGCTTCTCAAACAGTGCCAATACTAATCTTTTTGCAGATGAAATGCACGATTCGAAGTCAGCATGGTTCCATCATGGTTATTCCGCGTGAAGACAACATGGTTCGCCTCTATATCCAGATTGCATCTTCCACCGATGCCGACTGGAATCCAAGGAAATCAGCAACCGAAGCTGAAGTACAAGCCTCAGCTCAGAAGATCTTATATCCCTACAATATCGAATGGGAGCGTGTAGAGTGGTATTCCGTCTACCCCATTGGTCAAGGAATCTCAGAAAAGTATACCTTGGATGAGCGAGTTTTCCTTGGTGGCGATGCCTGCCATACGCATAGTGTAAGTGACTGCTCCTCCTCATCAATCTTCATATATGGTTCCAAGTGGCGCTGACTATGTGAATTTAGCCCAAAGCCGGTCAGGGTATGAACACAGCCTTTTTAGATGCGCTGAATCTTGCCTGGAAGATCCACGCTGTTGAGGGTGGATTCGCAAACCGAGATATCCTCAAAACTTACGAGTCTGAGCGAAAAGCAGTAGCTGAATCACTGTTGGACTTTGACAACCGCTACGCCAAACTCTTCTCCCAGCGGCCGCCTGCAGCTTCCGAAGTTCAGGCAGCCTCAGAAACCATTCCAGATGGCGACTTGGATGGCGACAACGATTTTATCAAGACATTCAAGGAATCCTGCGAATTCACTAGCGGCTACGGCGTCTCATATCAGGCCAATACATTGAACTGGTCGCCAAGCCACCCTGCCCAGTCACATGTCGTCCAGCCCAGCGGCACAACACTGAAATCTGGACGTTTGTTAGTGAACGCGGATGTAACGAGAGTTGTCGATGCCAACGTGGTCCACCTTGAACAAGAAGTGCCACTGAATGGCTCGTTCCGCATCTTCCTCTTTGCCGGTGACCCAGTCAAGAACCGTGCTGCGCTTCGAGACTTTGCAGACAACTTGACCAGCGCCAAGTCGTTCTACTCAGCATACACCCGACCAGATATTGACCAGGTTTCACATCACGAAAAGCATAACCCGCACAGCCAATTCTTCACACTGTGCACTATCTTTGCGGCAAAGAGGCATCGTATTGAGATCGCCCGTGATGTTCCTAGCGTGTTGGCTCGTTATCGCGACCACATCTACGCCGACGACAGATGGGACCGTCGCGTACTTGATTCAGTGGCTCCGGCTCACGCGAAGATGGGTTTCAATGAAGAAAAGGGCGGTGTTGTCGTTGTCCGACCAGACGGCTATGTCGGCCTTGTGGCTTCCCTGGTAGAGGGCTCGGGCACCATTGACGCGTTGAACGCATACTTTTCAGCATTTTGTACTAAAAGGTTTGGAAACACTGCGCAACTGTAGCGCAATTGTAGAGTTGATATGATTGAGCGGCAATAGAGGGGCTAGGGGAAGGTACTGGGGCATTTTACTTTGATATTACAACTTTTATCTTTGTCCTCTACGGTTTATAGAAACTTATTCTACGTCTTATTTATGGAAGCATCACTGTACATTCTAGCAACTAATTACATTCTTCATCATCGGTTGCTGAGCACTACCAAGTTACACGCACATACTGAATGCAATTACTACTGTTATGAGCATTGGTATAGGCATACGTAGCGTGAGATACTAGTGAAGCAAAAATGGGAGATATGAACGTTCCTTTCCCGATAAGATTCAAGAGTAAGGCCTAATAGAGCCGATCTTGGCTCCGAAGATTAGCGTTTGGAAAGATCCATATGAATGTTGCCTCGGAAAGTATGATAACACCTTTGCAAAGTTAACTTTTGCCGAGCAAACATACTTTGGCATAGTTATGCGGCATTGCGAAGCTTTGGATAAGCTCTCTTGGGCATGAACTCGCGCGGTGTCTCCGTGTGTTGTATAGCACCGAGCACAGCGGTACATGGTGCGCCATGCAAGTATTACGTGCAATGCAATGTATTCATTCGCTGGAAAAGTAGACGAGGTGGCGGTGACAGATACGGCTGCAGATCAGGGGAAATTGGGATATTGGACATCAACGTAGCTGAGAGTACGGATCATCAACGTTGCGATGTGTGTTATTGTAGAGCTGTGAGTGAGAGTCTGAGTGTGAGTAGCTTGCTCGAAGGTGTTGTTATTGTGTTCGAGCAAAGCCACCTCAAGTATTTTGATTACAACTATACATGTACTATTGCTGCCCTTCTACCGTACCTACTAGGCTTCTACCTGTAAGCGACCAGATTAGCATTATTCAGGTAGAGCTGCATTTTCAAGTTTGTTTTAGGTGGAAAGAATAGCCACAATGCCTCGAGATAGGGCTTGACCCATTTGCAAATCGACCGTGCCATTGTTTTTTTTACGTGTACTTGAGAAAGAGGAAGGCCTCTATTCTTATTATTTTGCCCCTGCCTACAACTCTCATCTCTCCTTCGTACTTCTTGTTCTACTTCCGCTAGCTCTCATTATCTTATACAACATCCATGGATCTCTTATCCTCCCTTAGCAGTCCTTTTTTCTCCTTCTTCTAATTGCATTACTGCACGATTCTCAAGCTGGCTTCTCACACTTGAAAATTTCTCTTTCGAAACACGGACCCGGAAAACAACCTCCCGTCAATAATCGTCAAGAATATTGAGGCTTCCGAGACTCCCTCTCCGAACATATTGCCGTCGATGTCTAGGACGAGGACATAAAACTGGTAAGTCATACACATCATAGCACTATTTCATACATATCTACTAAAAAAATTTCGCGTTTCAGACGAGAGCATCCCCTGAAGAATTCCTTTTCACTCCATCTCCTCCTTCGCCGAGTCTATTTACTATCGACAACATAATCCGGCCGGCCCCCTCGCCGTCAAGCAGCCTGAGGCTGCTAAGATAATCCTCTTCCCGGTCGAAGGTTTTGGCCAGTACAAGGCTCTCGTAAGTTATATGGCACTACCTATCTCATATGAATTTGGTAACATTTTCTTTTTGTAGGTAATGACGCTCTCCTATGAGCTCCTTTTAGTTCTCGCGATAGCTTTTCTTGGGGCCATCACCACGGTTGTCGGCTTCGGCCGGTTCCGTAAAGAAGCAGAGGCTCTAAAAGCCAGAATTTCTAGTGACAGTGGGAATGCTATGCTGCAGGTAGCCTCATAGAAATCGTAGATGGTTATTTCTATAAATGTGTCAAAATTGTCAATGCTGATTCCTCCCTATGGGCTACTAATGCTACTGATGCTACTGATGCTACTGATGCTACCGTTATCGCTGCTGTTACTAAAATTAACGCCATCGCTGGTTTTGTTGTCATCGCTGATCTTGCTGCTATCGCTGATCTTGCTGCCATCGCTGACTTCACCGCCATCGCTGAATTCACTGCCATCGCTGAATTCACTGCCATCGCTGAAATCCTATGTAGGTGGATTATCGCGCATCAAAATAAAGTAAAGGCTAGGCGAATCATCGGCGCGTTAATCCTAATAACATATACCAATGTGGAGGTTACCTGCGCTCCATTTTGCCGCGCGCCGATACCAACGCAATCTGGGGAAAGGCAGCGGGGGTAAATCGACTTAAGGCTGGCCAATCATGGGCCGTGCTCTGCTGGCTTGAACTTAGTGGCGTTTGATGAGTTTAGCCGATATTCTGCCGGGTATTTATTTCAACCTCTCACTTGTGTCAAGCACCCTTCAGCACCTTCAGCGCCTCTACTACGGCGACGACTCGGCGCCTTTATCAACCTGGAAAGCCTAACCACCCAAACTTTGTCCATTATCGTAAATAAGCCTAGACTATATCGCAACTCAAAACGCAACTCTATATCTTCGAAACTCTATCGCTCGCCTCACGCGTCATCAAAGAACAAACGAGCATATATATAAGAGCAGCTCCTCCCCTCTGGTAAGAATGTCTCCTTCTGCATTGTTGCACATTCTTCGAGATGCCTTCAGGTTCTTACACGCGCAGATACCTCTTCCGGGTCTCGGACCCGGGAAATAATCCCACTGCTCGGCCTCAGGCCCCAAATCTTTTCCCCATTGGGGACTTTGATGAGTATATGAAACTCGTAAGTCATACACAGCATAGCGTTTCTAACACATTCACTAACATTTTGCGTTTAGGTCAAGACGTTTTCTGGTGAGCTCCTTTTAGTGCTCGCCATGGCTTTCCTGGTGGCCGTCACCACGGTTGTCGGCTTCGGCCGATTTGGTAAGTAGTTCTCCTTGAGAAATCGCGACTGTGCTTTTCGACGTTACTTACTTTTCATTCAGCGTACAATCAGTGTAGCAACCTCTTCAGCTACGAAGAAACTCAAGCTCCCAATGGACACATTTCTGCTTCCGATGACCACATTTCCACTACCGATAAACACATTTCCACTTCCGACAACAATATTTCCGCTGTCGATAAAAGCATTTCTGCCGTCGGTAAAAGCATCTCCATTGTCGCCAAAAGCATTTCCGCTTCCGAAAAAACCACCTCCATTTCGAACAAACGCCGCAGACATGAGCCGCTTGCCAGACTCGACAAACGTCGCTTCCTCACCACTCGATCTTCGTCGATCACCTCTGGCTATATGGCGGATATTTCTCGATCTGTTTCAGGCAGTTATCGCCCCAATTCACAAGTCGCTCTATCGGCTTTCGAGCAATCAGCTTTGGAATTGTCAGTCCTCGACAATCAGAAAGAAATTCATTGGATTGATAAACAGGCCTTTGCCAATCTCATCAAAGAGTACAAGGAATTTGCCGCCCTACTCGAGTTTATCTGGAAATCCTCCATGGGTTCCACCCAATCAGCTTTGGTTGATGAATGTCTCTACCCCATTCGAATGCACTTCCTGGTTCCCGAGAAGCTCCAGCTCCACGGGCGTGGCCTACTTTCTCCTCTGAATGCCGCCTTCGAAGAATTTTGCATTCTCTGCATTGGGTTCCTCAACAAGGTGTACTGTATCGACCGCATCACGTACCTTCGAGAGAAGTGGCCAACTGCACCATCATTCATGGATGAACAGCCTTCGCCACAAGATGTGGAAATGATGGAAAGAATGCGAGGCTTCTTTTCATTCCCTGGTCTGCCCAACATTCTTTCAAACGTGTTGGCCATTTGCGGATTCGACAACATCGAGGTGCCTGCCGATTTCATGGATCGCATCGTTGTGGACTTGGGCGCCATTATTCGGAGGCGAACTGTACCAAGCTACGTGGCATCAGAGGCATACCGGGAGCGACTCCTGGTCCTTGAAGCTTCTTTTGAACAAACCCCTCTATTCCCTTCAGAAGGTACCTCTGAAGTCACTTCTGAAGAGACGCCTGAAAATGAGCCAGACATTTGGCTGCAGATTGCGGAACAAAGCGATCACGATAACTCCTATCAACCATCCGCCATAGATTCGGATGTGTCTTTTAACCCGTCTTGTTATTCTCTGTCTGGCCTTCCTCCACACCCAGCCAAGAAAAGAGTCTCTTTTGAAATACCCTCGAACACCTCAGATAAAGCCTCGGATAAGATCGAGGAATTGATGTCATTGCCATTACTCAGCTCGCTCAAGATTAGTGAGGAATCAGAGATTGAGCTTAGGAACCTGCGAAAAGAAGCAGAGGCCCTGAGACAGCTCGACCTTGAGCAAGAGAAGCTTCGAAAGCTTCAAGAAAGGACTGCCAACGGACCTCAACAGCCTGTGGTGGCGCCTCTCAGCAACGAATGGATCCAGAAGGCTATCGACACAGTCTCTGCACCAGACACCGATGTGTTGGCCACAACCTGTCAAGGAACGCCCCTCCGACGACACGACTTCGCCACGGTAGTTGCGGCTAAGACCTGGCTCAACGACGAAATTGTCAACGGCGCGCTGGGCGGACTTGAAAAGGAGATCAACCTAGTTGCTGGAATCACCGATTATAAAAAGCAGGGCCGCAAATGCCTTGTCATGAACTCATTTTTCTGGCCTCGAGTCGAAAAGGCACATGGCCGCCAGACGCAGTCCATCCTTCGCCGGATGGGCGTCACTCCTCAAAACTTCTTACTTATGGACACAGTCCTCATTCCCATCTGCAAAGACTATCACTGGACACTTCTGGTGCTTCAGCCCAAGAGCAGAAAACTCATGCACTTGGATTCATTTAATAAGCGCTCATCTCATCCCGACATGGCGCTGGCGTGGATATCAGACTACCTGGGCGAATTATATGTGGCTCAGCAATGGGAGGTGCTGGCGGTCAAGTCACCTCAGCAAACAAACGGCTATGATTGTGGTGTACATGTGATCACCAATGGAATATGCATGGCTTTGGGGTTGGAGCCAGTTGCAAGCTACTGCGTGGAAGAGATGTCTCTTCAGAGACTACGAATTGCCGGAATGCTACTGAATGGGGGACTAAATGGGGAGTTTGACCTTTGGAAACATTGAATTGAAATGCATCATGCAGGGCGTTGGCAAAAGGGAAAGGGAATTATGATTTAATCAAAGCACAACCAGGGATTGTTAATTGGGCGTTTAAAAGGAAGGAAACCGCAAGGACATTTGGGAATGGCAAGCAAGCATTTTTTTTACATTGGAAAGGAAAGAAAGGATATTCACAGGCATTTGTTAGCATTGGAAAGGAATTGAAGGCAAAGGAAAGGGAATGAAATGATACCAAGAGAAAGGAAGAGCTTGGGTATATACTTAGATACCTGGTATAGGTCAATTGATTTGATACGTTAATTTGTCTTGGTTTCTCCTGCGAAGTCCTGTGATGTGTTTTCTCTGCTCTCCACTTCTCGGTTAGTAGCTGGCTCACTCCGATATTGGCAAAGGTGATGTGATGGCTACTTGCGTCGCTTGACCCTGGTCAAGCTAATAGAGTCTGACCAGTCTGATTGGCCGTAGTTGAACAAGGGCATTTCGTTTGATTGAGTGGTCCGAGTCCACGGAACTGGCCGACGCTGGCCAATCTTGGGCCTCGATTAATGTAAGCGGCCGCGATCAGGCATGGTGGCTTCGATCGAGTAGGATGATCGATCCAGGTGGTTGGTTGCATTTGATCTGGACGGGTTACCATTAGGCCGGTGGCTTTGTTCGAGTATGACGGCTCCATCAATTTGACAACCACCCTGCTTCTTCCTCGAGCTGTTGTTGTTGTTGTTGTCGTTGTTATAGTCTTCTTTATTATTCAGAGATTTGATCTGTTATCTAAGATGCCTGCTTGCCATTTTTATCTCGAGAGAGTTCATGTGTGTTTGTTCTTCTTGATATCAGATTCAAGGCTGTCAGTAAGAGAGTGGCTTGTCTGATCTTGTTGCGGCTCTCGGAATCAAGAGCTACGGCATACATACTTTATACATACACCTAACAGGGCATTCAAGTAATCGAGATTCCTTTTTATCCTTGTGAGATGTTCCATTTTCTTTCACGGTCTATTCTTGTGCACGGCTATGAGATCTTCGCTTGAGTGGGTCAATTGGGACAAGTACAAGGATCTGATGGATTTTGAGACATTTTGGACTGTGCAGTCGTGCAACGTTCCTTCATGTACAATCAAGTCCATCTAGTTATACCAGAGTCATTTTCATGGATCAAGGCCAGCGAGCTAGTGCGATGAATAGCTACATGATTGTCTCATATTGTTGACAAATTCACGAAGTCGGACCAAAATTGAACCTTGCAGTCTAAAGCTAGAGTCAAATCGTGTTTCCTAAACCAGCAATCATGGCTTATGCCGCTACTGGCTGAGATCTGCACCCAGAAGATGGTGCAGCTTGACACATTGCGAAACGCCGAAATAGAGAGGCTATCAAAACTACTATTTGTGTATAAGGTAGGTGTGCATGTGTCATGTACAAGTATGTAGTTTGCGGCAGATGTGAACAATTACAATTACGATTAGGGGAGCAGGATCGGCCATGGCATGCCGCACGTTAGGGCTCAGTCAGCGCTATACTGGAAGAATGCCGCTGCTATTGCTGCTTCCTGTCCTCTGCAGCTACAAGTACTTACTACTGGCAGTTGACGGCTCACGGTATCAATCACGGCATCCCGTCTTCTTCCGCTGCTTATTGTGACAGGTTATGAACTAATTACAGTAGCTACTGTAGGTAGGTGCCATAAACACACCGGCATTTGGCATCAGGCGTGGCGAGATGGAAAACAGAGGCGTAAGCCTAGGAAGAAAGTGAGCAGTGAGCGCTTCATCCAGCAGAAACAAGCCAGGTATATGTTTCGTCCAACATTGAGCGGTGTAGTCTTCGCATTCGCACAGGCGCGAGCATGTTATGGCGGTGCGACAGGCCTGGCCTGGGTTTCGGACGGGCTGGCCGCTGGAGCAAAAAAGGGATCCAAGTTGTGCCGTTCGTGTTCAGGTCAGGGTCTTTTTCTCTTCTTCTGTTGCTTCCCTGTTTCCTCTGGTGCGATGACCCACGGAGCGGAGGGGAGAAGATGGCCTGTGCTACGAGTTGCAGGTTTGCCTGTCTGCCTACGTGGCAGCATGAAGTAGAGACAGTGACAAAGAAGAGACGGAGAGAGAGACAAAGACACATATGTGCACACTGCCAACGCCTAACCTAGCGATGCAAGGGATGCTGTGCCTTTGTATACCTGGGTAGAATCCAATCTGGCCTCTCGCTTCGCGCAACTGGCCTATGTGATGCGTCCATGTGTCTCTGGCCAAGTACAGGTCAGCGGTAAGATGTTGAGTAACTGGGACGGCAACAGAGCCCTGGAGTGCTAAAAATGCACCGCGCCAGCCCAGCAGGCCGGGTCTGTGCTGGCGCTGCTAGCGGCATGTTGCATCGTTATGACATGGCGGCGGCGGCTTTGTCAAATCGTCATGGCACGATTCAAGCGCCCCTCCCAGATGCCAGAGCTGCCAGTGTGACGAGTCGGCACAGCCACAAGCCACCCAATCATGTCGGGTGACGCGCTCTGCAGGCGGGGACCCGCGCGCCCTTGGCCTTGGTCCAGGGAGCGACAAGCAGGGATCACCGGCGTGCTGAGGCTCCCTTCTAGTGGCTTTCTAGCGGCCAGTCACTGCCTGCATCCAGCAGCGATGCGCACAGTGCGCCGTGCGCCGCGCTGCTAGGCCCGGTACTGGCGGTGCAACGTCTACCAGGTCGGCGGGAGCTGGCGACGCTGTTTGGCCGGCTGGCCCAGCTTCCAGCGGGCTTCTAGTGTGTCTCTGGTGGCACGGCAGCCGCCAACGCCGAGGGCACCGTGCGGCCAACCTGAATGTATTGCCCCCTCGCAGGCTTTTTGGGCTGGGAGCCACATGACTACCTACCTATACGAGAGCGCAGCGCATCTTGCTGAGGGAGCGCCCGCACTTTGCCAGCGGTCTGCAAGTACCGGTCAAGTACCCCGCAGGACTCTCCGGCCACTCTTTTCGTTAGGCCCTTTTTTATCTGGGGCTGTCGCCTCTTTTTCCTTTTTTTCTTCCTCGTAACCATCGTGTTCTCCCTCGGCACTGCCCACTCTTTTCTTCGCTGAAGATGCCTAGATCGAACGGGAGGAAAAAAACTGACCACTGAATGGGCGATGATCACCAGATTTTCGAGGAATGCCACACACTAGTCCCGAGGCACGGCAGTCCTTTTTAGCATCACTGGTACTGGTACTACTACTACCTGCACTGGGACTAGCACCCGGCGAATTCTACTGCGAGATACCGCCCATGCTGCCGGGCCAATTGAGCGACTGGCAGTACCGGTACGCCAGAGCAAGAGCTCCGTCCGGGTACATGTACATGCCTCGTGCCTGCCTTCCTGGCCAGCTTTGGGAAGAGATCTCCATCGCGGTTGTGCTTTTCCTCCGCTTTCGTGCAGCTGTGAGAGGGTTAAAGACGGCTTTCGGTCGTATGCTGCAAGCGGCACTGATTCAGGAACTTGTTTACGTGCCTACTCCTTGTAGATTCTCCTCTCTTCTGCCTCCTTGTTTTTTTCCCTCTTTTAATGTCCGTCGCTAATAAGTGATCTACGGAGAAATTATTCGGGAGAAAAAAAAATGCGACTAGGCGATGCCGATGCTACGTATGGCCCGGTAGTGGTAGCAGTAGCAGTATTTGATTTTTTTTTTTTTTTTTCGCGCTCTGTTTTTCGCCTCCCAAGCTCAGCTGGAACAAATAGAAGGGGCGGAGAAAAAAAAGAAAGAGCCACAGAACCACGCCTCCCGATCCCCGATAGGCCTTCGATGCTGATTTAGCTCGCAGCCAAGGAAGCTACTAGGGAAGTCGCCTGTGCTGCCCCACCTGCCTGTGCATCTGTGCCTCCTGCCCCCGCCACCTCATCCACCCTGGTGGGATGTACCATTCGCTGCATGTGTCCGTACAAAAGAATGTATCTTCCGCCACTCGTCCATTCTTGTTCTGCCCTGCTTCCGGATACTTCGCGTCCTTGGCCAAGGTGCTTCTGAATCTCTGCACGCCACAAGACAGACGATCCCGTCCTCACCGCCGTCGCTCCTTCACTCTCGTCGAGTCGAGCCATTCCTCGCTTCATAATCACGACATTTCCAGTATTAGACATCTATACGTCTTCTTGTCCTCTTCTCTCTCCTCTTTCTCTCTCTATATCACGACCGACCTACCTTTTCGAGCCTTGATCTGCTCGATTCAGCATCCGGCCCCAGTTCATGTACCGTACAGTACAAGGTACAGCACTAGAGGCCATCCATCCACCTGTGCTTCTGTCCTGTTTCTGCGCCTTTGCTCGCCCCCCTTGTGGACCCTGACGCATTACGTGACCATATTAATAGAGTTGGCCTGGGTTCATCAGAGTTGCTGCTACTCCGCTTTCATCCGGCCAAGCTCCAGCATTTGTTAAGACTCGGGCCTGGGACTCACTTTATTACTTATCAGTTGCATCGTTCCCGGATGCTCAACCACGATACACGGCCATTGGCTTGATTGGCTGTCTCCACGTCCCCTCTCTCACACCGAGTCTCCCCTTCTCAGCTTCTCAGCATCTCAGCATCGCATCATACACTTTGCTACGTCGCCGTTATAATTGCTGTCTCCCCCTAGAGTTCTTTTGGTAAGGGCCTACTCCGAGTGCTCTTGCCAAAAGTCTATTGGGATCATACACTGCAAAAGAGGCTACCTGGTGTAACAGCATAGCATGGTCAAACCCAGGATAAGACAGCAAACTCTCGGAGTCGTCTTCACGAACCCAACAAGACACCAGCCACGGCCCTTGTCTGCGTTCGAGGACTTCAATGAAGCATCACTTACACCATACTCACGACCGACCAGCTTCGCCTCCTCGTCCGAAGCATCATCTCCCCGAAACACCATGACGGGTCACCCTCCGACCCTCAACGAGATCCTTCTCGATACCGCCCCTCCGCCATGGACCCTCACGGCCTTCATGGCCTACCTCTCGCAGAACCATTGCATGGAGACGCTGGAGTTTACACTTGATTCCCAGCGTTATACCGCCTTCTACGATCAGTTCTACTCCGAAGCGACCGCCTCGGATGAAAACCGGGAAAAGGTCTGCGCCTGGTGGGAGAAGCTGATGCAGATCTACATTGTTCCATGCGCCCCTCGCGAGGTCAACATTCCCGCTCAGGTCCGAGATTGCCTCCTCCGCGTGCCGTATGGCCCCAACCCTCCTCACCCCTCCGAACTTGCCGAAGCGGGACGCATCATCTACGAATTAATGAATGATTCTCTCTTGGTGCCCTTTTTGCAATCAGTCGCTGCGCCTATGGCCGACAGCCATCATGACTTCCATTTTGGATCGCCCAAGGCATCGTCTGACCGAACAGCCTCAAGCGGCACAGATCTGGATGTTTTGACGGTTGATAGTGATCCCAATTCACCCGTCACGGAACCCATGACGCCCCCTACTACACCGCCCACCTCGGAATGGACCTTCAACACGTCGCCCGGCGGCTTTCACCGTGCCGTAGCGGCGCATAATAAAGGCTGGAAGAAAGTCGGCGCAAAGCTGGGCTTCAATCGCAAAAGCTCTAGCCGGAGAACAACACCTACATCCTCAGGTGTTGAATCCGGAGAGATGAGCTTCAGCACTAGCAACCACTCATTCTAAAGAGCTTCAAAATGCGCCCAAAAATTTCATATGTTCCACTCCAACTTTTCCTTTCTATTCTTCACCCCCCTTGTCTCCCCTTGCATTGGACACTTCCGAGTAGTCCGATCTCCCCCCCCCCCCCCCCTCGCCAAACACGCATATGGAGGCTGCGGGGCATTACTAAATCGCCACGCTGATGGCGCTACCGAATCTCGACTTGCAAAATATCCATTTGATGAACAGCAAGACGATGAGATGGTAATTGCTGGGAAGCAGTTTTGATCGGGCATAAGTACTGGCTGGGAATTGCCTACCTTGCCCTGTTGGTCAGATCCCACATAGATGGCCACATCAGATACCCCGAGGAATAAGCATACCGCATCAGGAGACATGCGTGGCCGCTCGATCCGAGTTTGCTGTCTTCTGGATCTTGCTTCAAGGGGACAAACAAATTCACACGGCTTGGGATCGTATTTCAACTACCGATCCCAACCCATTTACCATTCTTTTTCATTTTCTTTCCTCTGAACCAGGGGGAGTTGTACAACACATTCGGTGACTATGCTGAGGACATCTCAGCAGGCCGCTTTTGTCTTAATACGTATACCTCATGCAGCGTGTTATTCAATTTACGAATTTATGGGATCCACGGCCTTGTTATAGGTGAAACGGAGTTTATCGGGGGTTCTGGCGGTACAGATATACGTTTTACTTGGTGTTTTCATTTCTTTTGTCATTTTTTGTTGCAAGGAGTCATCAAAGCGTGCGTGTGGATCATTCATAATGTATTATCACATAATACTCAATCAACCTCGGCCCTGCCGCGGAGTAACATAGCCATGATGTTATCCTTAGTAGATAGAGATAGGCCAATGAATATCTAGATGGCTCAACAACACGCCGCATCAGTGAAACATATTATGGGTGAGGGCGTGACCAGCACGTGGCATAGTTATGAGCTCGCAGATCAGCTTGCAAGTTTGCTTCGTATTTTTACACCCGGGGCATTTTCATTAAGTGCCCTTTCTATATACACTTTCCTTCCTAATGATATCCACCTTTTTTCCCTCTTAGAAAATTTATCAAGACGGTCTAAATGGTTTTCCTTTCTCCCATTTCATAGCATTTCGATTCAGCCCAATCTCTAAAAGACAATTTGATGAAGATATGACAAACATGGAACAGTATTTAAAAAGGAAGAAAACATTCCCCGCTATCTATCTGGCCAAGAAAGAGAGTCCCATGTAATCGGACATTAGTTTGCATTAATCGATCGAATCTCGCATTCCAAATACCAAACATTTTTTCTTTAAACTTCTTTTTTTCTTTTCGCCGAAGAGGAAGCTGCTGACAACAATCGTCTTTTCATGATTGGAACGCACCGTTCCTCAGCTGAGGGGATGCACGATAGCGACCCGTTTGCGCAGGCGCCTCGGAGAGCGGCAACAAAGGCGTTCCATTCCGCGACTCGGACATCATTCGTGCGGTTCGATCAGCCTTGTTGCTTTCGCTAGTGCGGTCGTAGAGATAGAGACCTAGGAAGGTGAGGGCAATGCCCACTGCCTGGACAGAGGTCGTTGGGCTCCTGAACCAGATGATGGCCATGACAATAACAAAAACACGCTTGATGAGACTGGCGACGGAGTATGTGACTGGAGATACCATGGAGAGGAGGATGAAGGCAATGATGTTTTGTCCAAAATGGAAGACGCCGTTGAAGACGAATTCGAGCGTCAGGCGGCCATGGTCCATAGAATTGGGTAGCTCGCTGAGGTCTACTGAGCCATCATGGAGGAAGTCCTTCAGAAGAGTGATGCCCTCTGACCAGAACCAAATCGGCATAGTCAGGGCAAAGGCCATGCCAGACGAGTAGCAGAGTAGATTGAGCTTGTCGAGTTTCTTGGATTGAGCCCCGCCGCCCTCGGACTCGACTTTCGCGGCTTCGTTGAATAACTTTTTCGAAAATATATTTTGCGTTACAAAGATTAGGGTTGCTAGAAGCGCTTCCAACACGCCAAGGAGTTGGCCACTGTAGCTTCGTTCGCTGGAGCAGGCCAGCATGACTCCTATTGTCAAAGGAACCAAGGAGAGGTACGTTGCCGTGGGGTATCGAATGTTGTAAATCAGTCTATAGGCGAGCACGGTAAACAGCGGCGAAAGGCCCTTTATCGTGTGGACGAGCGAAACGGGTATCTTAGCCGTCGCGGTCGAGCTGAGGAGGTGGCCGCCGATCTGGAACATGGCCAGGGGTAGCGTTGTCATGATGACTTCTCTGCTGGGTTGACAGATGGGGTATCGTAACGCAGAAATCTTGGTGCGAAGGACGGGGAAGATGCCGGACAGCCAGGAAAGAAAGATGCAGAGCGAAGACACGAACGCAAATTGAATTAACGTCAGCGTTGCAGGCATGTTAAAGGCATTGAGAATGGACTTTGACGACGTATTCGTCAGAGCAGACGATGTGTACCACATCAAGCAGAGAACCTACAGACGAAGATTAATTTCCTCGGTCTTTCATTCATATGTAAGGCAGGGGAGTGAATATGAACATACGACAAGCTTTGGGGACACCGGGGCTCGTAGCGCATCGGCAATTTCATGGGCATTTTGGCTCATGCTGCCGTTTCTGGCTCGAATCGTTCGGAATGCATCGCCGAGGCTCTTTTGGCGGCCATGGGTGCGGCCGGACGAGGACCAGGCGCTTCTCGCGGGATAGCCATTGGGACTGAGGTTGTTGCCATTGAAGGCCATCGACGGCGAGTTTAAGGAGTTTCCATCGTGGGTGGAATCGTTGCCCAGACCTGGTGATGTCGCAAGGCTCGGAAACTTTTCCATCACGCAGCAGCGGTGGGTCGAGCTGCCTTTCGAAATCGCAAAGGTAGAGAGAGGAGAGAGACTCTATTTCCACCGGCTCGAAACAAGTGAATGGAGAGGGCCGTTTTCGAGTGTCAGGCTCTTTCTCTGGGCGCGCGCTCGAGCGGTTTCAATTGAGGGCGGGTGTTGACGGTTGTAAGATCAGAGAAGCCAACGTTCAACGTAGAGGCGGTGCTGGTGGTGGGTTACGCCGTTGCATCAATTGACATCTGGAATACGAGCTGAGAACGAGAGACAGGGGTGGATCGCTAGATGGTCCATTACCACAGAGCCATGCACAGTCAGCGGCTTCGAGGCAAATGGCAAGAAGAGAAAATAAATATAAAAAGGACAAAACTTGCGGGGAGAGAAGAAAGAAGCAAAGCCGGACAACAGCGCAGGGAATAAAAAAGCTGCGTCTGCAAAGTGGAAAGGAGATCGACAGCGCGCGGATTTGGTGCAACACAGAAGTGCTTCGGGCTAGACAAAAGGAGTCGCCCGGCTGGTGAATCTCTTGGCGGTGGTATCCTGGTACCTGGCGCTATCAGCCGGGCTTCAGCCGATAGCCGCGTCCACGCGCTAGCGCTTGGCAGACACAATGGCTGGATTTTTTTTTCTGAAGAGCTGTTGCCACTACTAGGCAGTCGGTAGGGGCTGCGTCTAGCAGAAGCGTATAGCTGCAATTTGATGCTTTGTCTCCGCCAAATTCTCGCATTGGATCTTCGCTGTCGTCCGTTGCTTGCCTGAGACGATCCTATTCACCGAGACAGCTGTTTCTGTCTCTGTCTCTGCAGAGCGCCTCCCAGCTTGGCCGCGGCATGGGAAGAGATCCGAAGCAATACGTCGTCGCTCTCGCGGGTCTCTACGCTGTTTTCCAGCTCCTCACTCAATCGACAAACCCAGCCAAGTCCAACAGCAGTCTTTCGCCAAACTCAAATTCACCATGGCGGCCCCAAAGATGACCAAGAACCAGATGCGGAGGGCGAAGAAGAAAGAGCAGAAGAAGGCCAAGACAGAAGAAGTACGTCTCCATCCAGATTCCACCCACCATCATTTACGCGTCTCGCAGTTTCTCACCTTTGTGCAGGTTCAGCCATCCGAAGAGGCTGATGGGCCAATTGCCGAGAAGAAGGATGCATCATCACCGCCGCCTGAAAATGGCGCCGATGCCAAAAGTGCGACCGACTCAGCGAAACCCTCCGCGGCTGCTACCGACCCAATCCGAGAAGACCTGCTCGACGACGACCTGCTCGGCGATGACCCTGCGTTTGCCGCATACAGAGACATTTTCAACAAATTTGGCGTCTCTTTTGTGGAGGATCAGATTGCCAAGGAGGCCAATGCTGGAAACCAAGGAGACGTCTTCTTCGGTGACAATGACGACATCCCCGATGAAGAGGTGGAATCCGGCCAGCAAAAATTATCAAAGAAGAAGCGGAAGCAGCTAAGTAAACTAACCGTTGCACAGCTAAAGGCGCTCGTCAGCATCCCGGAAGTGGTCGAATGGCACGATATCTCAGCTTCGGATCCCCGGCTCTTGGTGCAAGTCAAGGCACAGCGAAACGTCGTTCCCGTACCGGCTCACTGGGCAATGAAGCGAGAATACCTATCTTCAAAGAGGGGAATTGAGAAGTCAGCATTCCGGCTACCTAAATTCATCGCCGAGACTGGTATTGCAGAGATGCGCGACGCTGTGTTGGAGAAACAAGCAGAGCAAACGTTGAAACAGAAACAGCGAGAACGAGTCGCGCCAAAGATGGGCAAATTAGACATTGATTATCAAAAGCTCTACGATGCTTTCTTCCGGTTCCAGACGAAACCGGAGCTGACGCGATTTGGCGAAGTGTATTACGAGGGCAAGGAAACCGAGGTTGACTACCAGCATTTCCGTTCTGGCGACTTGAGCGATGCCACGAAAGAAGCGCTTGGTATGCCGCCCGGAGCACCACCTCCCTGGCTCATTAACCAACAAAGATTCGGCACCCCTCCGTCCTACCCTACTTTAAAGATACCAGGCTTGAACGCGCCGCCGCCTCCTGGCGGATCATGGGGCTTCCATCCTGGTGGTTGGGGTAAGCCGCCGGTTGACGAATTCAACCGCCCCTTATATGGTGGTGATGTTTTTGGCCTCACCGCGCCAAATGGTGCCACTGGCCAAGCCCAGGCAGCGCAACCCCAGCTATATAATGGCGACTCTGTGGAACGAGCACTATGGGGAGAGTTACAACCTCGTGAAGAGGAGTCTGAAGAAGAGGAGGAAGAGGAGGAAGAAGAAGAATCCGAGGACGAGGATGTTCCTGGCGGCACCGAGACTTCCACCGGACTCGAGACACCAGGCGGCTATGCCAGCACGGTACATGCCGACTATTCACAACAGGGTGTCGAAACATCGATTGCCGGCGAAATGGATCTACGCAAAGAGCGACGAGGATTCGACACGGAGGAATCCTCTGCCCCCCGCTCTGCCTACACAGTTGTGCCTGAGCGGCAGGTCCGTGCCGAGGGCTTCTTTGGCAGCGACCGCGCGTACGATATCAATGCCGCTCAGCGCGCTGCGACGGCTGGTATGCCCGTGCTTGGCGCAGACGACGATTCACGGAAGCGGAAGAAGCCTGGCGATATAGACGTGGCCATCGACGTCGACTCATTGAACCAGCAAGGCGGCCTCAGCAAAGACGAGCTACGGAACAGATATGACGCCAGCCAGAAGGAAGAAGGCATTGGTGCGAGATGGGCTTATGACGAGGACTTGAGCCAGATGATTGCTGAAGAGAGCAGGAAGCGACAGCGTACTGAGAAGGAGCTCAATGAGAAGAAGCGAGAGAGCAAATATAAATTTTAATGCGGACCGGGAGATATGCTCTGTCTCTCTCATCTCGGCTATGGGAAACATATATTACATATACAGCCGAGAATAGTTGGAAAATGGGCACAAGGATGACGGCGGCAGAGCGAATGACACTTCCTGCTGTGCTCTAATTGAGTCAAATAATGGAGAAAGAAACGGAATGTGGAATGTGGAAACACGGGAGTTTTTGTTAATTGTTCAGGAGTTTCATGTATAGTAAAATCTAAAGGCTTCATTGATACCATTAAACATTTTCGCTCCTCTCTCGTGTCACGCATGGCCAACTCTAGCCACCATCAGATCTGGATAGCGGAATATTCTTCCAATGTAATACTTGGACCACCCAGCTCATCAATCCCAGAAAACACCTCTACTCTCTACCAAGTCTGTTTCTCGAATTGGTTAGTGGTAGTCTGCCCAGATCAAGTGATTCAGAACCCTTTAATCAGAGGACACCGAGAAAACTAAAGTTCCAGCTAAGCAATGTAAGTAATCATTATATCTCTTTATCAAATCATCATTATTTTTTCTTCGTAGTGCTGCCACAGTCGCTGTTGGGGCTCTTGGAGTCATCCAAAGAACCTGGAGTCGAAACATCCAATTCTTCTTGTGTGTCATCTTCAGCTTTCTTTTCCTCTTGCGTGTCATCTTCGGCTTTCTTTTCCTAAGTCGATTTGCTCGCGAAGCACGCATTGCAGAGCCAGCCTTGCTTTTTATCAACAGGCACAACAGCTTCTTCCCTTATGCAGTCTGAGTGGTACAACCTTTGAGGGCAGAGCTATCGTTTTCTCTCGTAAGTATGCGTTTAAGGACAGGCAAGTGTTAGCAGAAGATCAAGAAAACAACTTACCTTGTTTGCGCAGACCAGCATTCTGGGCCCTAGTACGGGCAGCTGGCAGACAGTACAGCCATTAGTGCCTTTGCGGATTTGAGTAGCTCTTGGAGACTGCTTCAGGCTTGCTTCTTCCTCGGCCTGGATGCCACTACTTTCATTGTTGTCATTTCGCTGTAATCTCGCTCTCGCTTCGTTGATAATAGAGAATGCTTCACGTATGACATTGTCTTCAAGCATATCGCGAACTCGAAGCAGGCTGAGATGTTTGCCAAACTCCAATAAACGCTGTTCAGCGGCAACAAGCCAGGATGCCTTCTCTCGAACGAAACCCAGCCAAGCTCGGGGAAAATAGGCGGCAGATGTAAGGCTCTGGCGAAGGATATAGCCGTCCCACTCCCAGATATACTCCTTTTCCGCAGGAGTAACATCAGAAAAATCGCTTGTGCTTTCGCGGTGCTTTTGAATCAGCCATGTGTTGTCGAGTATCCTCTTTGGAACCTCCTGGCCAGGTATCAATCGCGCTCTGCTGATGGGATCAAAAAGAGCCTGTTTGATATCGGGCACCAGGATCCTTTCGTTTTCGTGCCCCCCTAAGCGCCGATGCCCAAATCTTGGTTGTGTGGCTATTGGCGACTGGGAAGGGAGCCTATCAAACAAATTCTTGTTATTTGCAAAGGTGAATACATCGTCAATGGTATCCGACCCAAGCCGAGATGAGACCCATGACTGATCACCAACAAGAAATGTCTCGAGTTGGAAGGGCTTAATGGGGGTCTTTATCTCATACTCCTTCAGGGGAGAAGCCATAGCCTCGCATCGACTAGAGACTCGGAACTGCGGCCCCTGACTCGTAGTTTCGAGCACATAGTTGTACGCGGGGTGGAAAGTCTGTAGGTGTGCCTGTAGTTGCTGCATAGTTTGGTGATAGGCTCCGCAGGTCACGCAGCGGTAATAGTCTAGACAGACAGGCTGGTCTGAAGGTAGGAGATAGCTAACGCGGCCTTCACCCGCCGTGAGATGATTAGCCCGCGCGCGACGTTTTTTCTCTCTGCCCTGAGCTTGGTCACTCAGAACCTTCAAGTTATACACCTTGTTTTTTTCACGAGTTCTCAAAGACCTCGAGGGAGTTTGTGCCCCTTCCGGGCCGTCCAGGCCCTCCTCGTCAATTTCAACGGAAAACTCATCCGCATGGTGGCCATTGATGCCATTGGCTCTTCTGTTCAAAGATGGAGCAAATAGATCGTCCATCAAATCTGTCTCAGGATCAATGGCGTTGATGCAAGGCATCGATCCCTTCTCCAAGACCTTTAACGCTTTGTAGCCGGCTGCCCAGCGTAGGTCAACATCCATGACATAATCGGTGCAGAAAGGAGGTTCATCCTCTGAATATCCCGCAGTCAAGGACACAGGACCCTTAAGCCTGCCAAAGATCTTGTCAAAGCGGCTCGACAAGACCCATGATTTGTTGGAGGCAGGAGAGACATCAGGAGACACTGGCGGTATGCCGAAATCGGTCGAGTCCAGCGGTGGCCATTTCTCGCCGTTGGCAGCCTCTAATTCGACGACAATGTCGTAGGAGTCCGCCAAGTCGAATTTGTCATCATCCACCCGGTTGACCAGGATGCTCTCCTGGGGGACGTAGAAGGGCTTGGGCAAGTCAATGCGAGAGACGCGGTGAGGGCCCGCGGGGTTTTTATATGTTGTCAAGCTGCAAATCTGGTTCTGGCAGTGAACGACTCGGGGGCGGAAGCCAGGAGTCAGTTCAGAGATGGTGATCCTGCAGCTAGCTTTGGTGTGCGTAACCTCGTGGGGGTGAGCTTGGCCGTGATAGGATCTGACCTTTTTTGAGTCCTTGTGAGAGATTTTGAGAACCTCAACTCGGAGGGCAGACTTGGATTCTGAAGACTGCGGAGTAGCAATGAGATGTTCCACAGGAAACGAGTCGGGCGTCGAAACTCGTCGCCTTTTCAGCGGCGGGCCCCTTTCATGGTCGATTTGATGAGATCCTTTATGAATTGGTGAAGATACTATGTTGCCCATAGCTGCAGAGTCCTTCAAGGCTCTGGTGCCTTTGATCCAGTTGCGATGAAGAAAGGGGGCTCGACGCTGGCACCTGGTTTTCACCGTCATGGCGGGATGAAACCGATCATGAGAAAAAGGGTCTATGAGACGGCGGATGAGCCCAACGTATGCTGAGACGAGGCGGGCAAAACAAACAGTGCTGGCGGCGACGGTGAATGAAGCTATCCCTTAGCCTTAAAGCATTATGAGTTTGAACCCGCACGCTTCGTTGCCGCTGCGGCAACCCAGTGAAACGCCCAGATGGGTATCAAAGGTGTGAATGATTGACCCTAGCAGATGATGTGAATGCGCCGGCAGGGTGTAGTCAGGTATCAATTGTCCCCCGAACAAGATGCAGTCAGCGGCGGGAGACTAGAGAGGGTGAATTGAGGCGGTGCGAGAGTTTGCGAGAGTTTGCGACGGGAATGAAGAAGCTGGGAATGCGGCCAGCAGGCTGTAGCGGCTTTGGCAGCGCGACAGAACGAACAAAGCAAGCAGACGCGTGTAGATGAGACCTGCCCGGCTGTATCGCGGCCCCGGAAAAGCCTAGCGCCAGCGGACCTCGCTGTAAGCGACGCTGAAGCCATCAACCCGTAGCAGAGGCCTAGCGCTTGGTAGCGGGTACCAAGCAGTCGGTGGCTAGCGCTATGGGGAGCCATGTACCTGCACTTACACAGGCCACGCTTACAAGCATGAGGGCACCATATGCACATAGCCGTCGGCATGTCCGGTGCACGGCTACAGCGAGTGATGGCATCAAGCAAATGCCTTCTCGACTACTGAGGTACTACAAAGGAAAAGGAGGTGATGGAAAGCGAAAGATCTTTTTGACTTCCAAATTTAGCTATCCGTCGATGGCACTAGGAAGAAGTGGAGATGCCAGCAGAAGATCTCTCCTGTCAGCAGCGCCGACCAACAAAGTTTCCAAAACAGAGAGAAAACGACCTCAGGCTGCGGAGTCTGTCATGCAAGCAAGTCGCATGGCGCTAACGCAAGTTCCGACATTCCGTAATACGCCTTATACCTAGGTCCAATGAGCATGTGTGCGTGACAGGAACAGAAGACTGCCTGTTCTAAATAAAACAAACAACAGCCTAGAGAATGTCGATTGCCTTTTTAGATATGTATTAGCAGCGCAGCAAGGCTCTATTGCGGATGCCAGTGCTGGCGTGGCATCAGTAGTAAGCGTATCGAAAAGAAAACCCTAGGTATACTAGTAAACACCTTAATGCCAACTCAGCTATTGTGTCAGGAGTGAATGCCCATGTGTTCCGTAGCATTGGGATTTGCAAGTCTTCACGCGTACCCGACTTGGTCTAGTTCCATCGAAGCCGCATCTAAGCTTTTATCCTCCTTGGGTACAAAGCACATGTAGTACTGCGTAGCTGCAGGCACGTCACAGTTGACGTTGGTGGATAATTGCAAGGGTCTCTCGTTAGGATCACGCTGCGAGAAGCAACTTACCCACTCGGCGTGAATATGGCCTTGTGTGTGCAGGTTCTCTATACACAATAGCCCCGTCATATACATAGAGGTCTCATCGAGAATCGAAGTTATTGCAGAAGTCTTGATCAAGTATATCTGCACCGAATTGCTGTGCACAGAGAACCTGCACAGTACTCATCACATGACAAAGGACGTTGCGCTGCTGAGCTGCTGAGCTGGGCCCCGCTACGCCTGCCTGTAAACCTTAAGCATCTCAACGCTGCAGTATTCGAAGCAGCGCTACCTCATATTTACTCATTCCTACTTCCACATACTTTCAGCTCCAACCACCCCCCGAATCATTATTCCTCCAACCAGCAGAAGTGTTACTACAAGCTCACAAGGCGTCGCACAAGGAATCGCCCGGGCCACAGAAGCGCTGTGTCTTCTACATGCATATCATTTCTTCGCTACAGCCTCCAAAGCTAGCGCCGTGAACGACGTGGTGCAATGCCGCTGACACGCAGCGCCGGGCAGCGAGCCTTGGCTCAAAATAGCAGCCGACGAAATCCAGCTCGCCAGTCCCGGCCCAATTCATCTCGCACATCCAGACGGACGCGCGAAGCTTCTTCCGATTCCTCAGGGTTAGATTCGACTGCATCGGATTCTCCATTACAATCTCACCATGTTTCCGCATCGGCTACCCGGCACTCATCTCGAAGACGGAGCACACGAATAGCAGCTGGGCCTGGCAATCAAGCAAGCCCGAAGACGACCCGGCAATCAAATCCAAAGACAGTCCCTAGAGGCAAAGCTAATAACAGAAGCCGCCCCGTCGCCACCACAAGTTCCCCAAGTAAACGGCGACATACAGTTTCAGAGAGCCTCAATCAGATATTCTCAACCGACGGTCCAAATTGGACAGATCCGCGAATTCCCTATCAATTTTGGGTAGATGTTTTCTTCCATGCTCACAATGAAAGTGGCGCAGATGCAGCGAATACGCACTGGCTACTCCAAGCTGCCACTTCATGCAAGCTACTCTCAGAGCCGGCATTAACAGCCATTTACCGCTACCCAGTGATACGGCATGCTTCCAAGGCGAAACGACTGGTTTCATTGCTGGAACGTTCCCCTGCAGACACTCTCTTCAACTACCGCAGAAAAATCGAGTATCTTCACCTAAATGTTCGGGTTATATCTCAAGTAATAGCTTCTCAGCTCATTCGACCATTGACTCGTCTTAAGGAATTGATATTTTTTAATCCTGCGGAACAGCCACCCTATAGGGAGCTTGATGCGCATGTCAGATGGAACTATTCAGAGGATATTTTCCTTGCCCTCCATTCACCGCCAGCTGAGGATCCCGAGGCTCTTTCACTGCTCCCCATTACCTTGAGGAGCTGGGAGTGGAGTGGAAGCTTGCTTGGCGGCTATGTTACAGACTTTAAAGACATTAGTCGAATCCACCAAATGCCATTATTTGCTCACCTTACGCGACTGAGCTTTACGAATTTCCAAGTCCCTTCGCTCAGGCTTACCGGGCCGGCGCTCAATGACCCTCAAGCCAACATGCAGACCTCTGCTGAGGACGACGAGGTCATTGATGCTATTGGAGATGCTATAGCACAGCTTCAATCCCTGAAACATTTGGTCTTTGAATCATCTACCATCATGACAAGTCGTCTGCTCTCTCTGCTGCCTACGCGCCTTACTCACCTAGAGCTCATTAATTGTTGGGAAATTGATGCTGAGAATCTAGCTATGTTCCTCATCACTCATGGCAGCAGCCTCCGCAATCTTGCTCTGATGCATAATCAGTCTTTGGATCTTACCTTCCTAACAATTTTGGCCGAGGCTTGCCCCAGCCTTCAAGAGCTGCGCATGAACATGTCTTACTATAGGCACCATGACTCACTCAATGATGCGGATCCCATGTATGACTTCGCCCTTCTCCCCGACCAGATTCCAACATGGCCCTCTAGTATCCGTGTCATTGATATCGAACATATTCGGAGCTGGTCCATAGAAAGCGTGTATACGTTTATTCACTCGCTTGTTGATAATGCTGCGAGTTTGCTAAATTTGCGTGAGCTGATGATCAAGACTGCGCTTGATATTCCATGGCAAACTCGCGCTGAGCTGCGACACAAGCTAAGACACATGCTTGAACGAGTATTTCTCCGAGAGTGTGAGGATCCACGCGATACGGTGGCGCCTGAGCAGACAAGTAGCACTCACGATCCTGCTAGACCACGCAAGAGGAAGCGATCTAGGTCTCCGAAGTCTCCTGTACGAAGAAGTAATAGAATCGAAGCGCATGTGCGTGGCTCGCTCCGTCGCCCCAGAAGAGACAACATATCGCAACGGCACGGGCTTGGAAGGCCGCTCTATCGAGAACCGGATACTGATGAAGACGAGTTTGATGACACAGACTTATCCGATGCCGAAACTCAGCAAAGCTCATCTTCCGATCCTCAGCCAGAATTAGCAGTCCAGGGACTTTGCCACACTGTCGACATCGTAATCGATAATCAGAAAACGAGAGAGTTTCCATACAGTATGGATGACTTCTTCTCTGATGGCGAAGGGTCTTCGGGCGTGGAGTGGGACGGGGATGATGACGACGACCACGATTTCTCTATTGCGTTTTGAGGAGATTCCCTCACTCCTATGGAAAGGACATCAATACTTTGAAAGATAAATAACTACGAACACAATCTCAATATACGGGTGCGATAACTTACCGGAATAGACTAAAAGGGGTAACATGGTATATTGCTGCATTTGGCGTTTGGGGGAATTAAGATCTCATCGTACCTATAATGATAGCTTGCATCATGGCATTAATAATCAACGGAAGTCATGGTACCTTATTAGAATGGGAACGGGTCGAATTTTCCCTCAATCCTTTCACCTTTGCAAAAAAAAATTTGAAACATGACTTGCTCCGGACTTTCTCGTACGAAACATGCCATCATCAATAATTTATTCTGCCATTAATCATTCCTTCTTCGATACTATGTATATACAAATAGGTAGGTGGTAGCTACTGGTAGAATCAACGTATACCAGCAGAGTCTAGACGCACAACTCTAATCTGACGAAAACTTCATTAAAGAAAAACCACCCATGCAAAATCCACTGCGGAGAGTCAAGTCTAAAAGGCTGCACCGCCAACGCCTTCACCAGCCAAATTCTTCATGCTCTTCTCGCTCAGGTCACTTCTCATCTCCCATGCCCTGGCGTCCCGATCAAGTCTAGACCACGAATAAAGGCTCTTTCGAAGCCGCTCTTGCTTGAGTCGTAGTTCTTCCCGTATTTTTTCCTCTTCGTCTTTTAGCTTTCTGTAGTGTGGTTCAATCTCCTTCGTGACACCGAGTACTAGGGGTGTCATGGTTGGATCTGTTTTCCCGCCGGGAACTAGAGGGGGCATCGTCGCCAACAGGCTTTGAGCAAGGGTCTGTCTTGGTCCGCTGCCATGTTGAGCCGAGGGGCCCGTGGGTGGATTGAATGGTCGTTGAGTAGAAGACATTCCTACGCCGGATCCATTTGAGATAGATGCTCGAGGACCAGTGGGGATATTAGAAGGGCCACTTGTCGCAGCTGATGCCGGTGGTGGGCCAGATAGATGGCGAGGCGGCGCTGAATTCCATCCTCCCCTCCCGCCACGGGATGAAAAAGAAGATCCTCTGTTTAATGGGATGTAACCTCGAGGCCCTGAAGGCGGGTTTGTTGGACTTGTAGTGTCTGTTCTGTGCGGCATCGCGTTTGGTGTTTGAGGAATTCGCTGCGTCTGCGGAATAGGCATTGTTGCTGAGGTGGAAAGTGTACGAGCAGCAGCAGGGCCGATGGGTGGTGCTCGTAACGCTGCAGGGCCACGTGGCGGTGATTTTAAAGGGCCAGAGGCAGTTTCGTTTCCAATGGGCCGTTGGATGTCTTTGACAGCTGCAACTGGTGTCGCAGAACGGTGGGGAGGGGAGCCTTCCAAGGTAATGGGCGAACGAGTTTTGGCCGACTGTGATTGAGAATCTGCTCTTTCTGAAGCAGGTCGGGACGGTAGCGCAGACATAGGCCCGGGTTCTCGCATCGGCGAATGTCGCTTATATGAATTAAATCTGTCGTCTCGTCGATTGGGTGACCTAGAACGAGGCCTGTAAACACCGCCACGGACAGCAATAGGCGTTGTTTTCCCTAGCGGAGTCCTCTCGCGACGGCGGTCTCGAACGAATGGAGAGCGTGATCTCCTGTGCTCCTGAGTAAGCGAATGTACCCAATATTGTGCGTGAATATAGAATAACAAACCTGTCGTCGCGCCTCTCGGCGTCTCGCTCCCATTCCCTAGGTCGATTTCTTTCACGGTCCCAGTCCCGTTCACGGTCTATATCTCTAGGCCTATCGCGCTCCCATTCCCGTCGCGGGGATCTTGGTCGGTCGTATCTGTTCTCCCTTGCCGGCGACTCTCTTCTAGGTGGACTCCGGCGAGGCAGTGGTGATCTTCTCATGGGAGATCGGCTTCTCTCGCGCCTTCGAGGGCTTTCGCGGTCTCTGGATCGATCGCGGCGGTACCGATCATTTATACTCCGAGAGCGCCTTCGCGGCGGATATCTACCAGGCACATAGCTATCTGATCCGGGTATGATAGGGCTTCGAGGGCGAGGGCTTCTGGTACGTGGCGGACTTCTTGCTCGGTCTCTTACGGGGCTCCTCGGTCTTCTAGGCGATCGCTCCCGCGGGGTTGGCCTCCAAGACTCTCCAGCACCATATCTAACGACTTCACCGTCGTCATACCTGTGAGAATTAGCCATGCGCTCGATAAAGCCTTTCCACCGAGATCTGGAGACCTGAGACGCGAAAGTGAGCGTGGCAGATTTCTTCATTTTCGCAAATGCGCCACGCTCAGCTCACCCGGTCCCGGTCCCGGAACTGCCAGCCAAAAATGCGATTCATGAAAGAACAATGGAATAAGTGAGTGCCGGTTCTTACCTGCGGCTCCGGCCATCGCGATCGCGGTCCATTTTACAGGATCAATGGCAACAAAAATAACAATGCTAAATCAAATCTTAGGCTTGTCTGTATGAGACGTTGTCATCCGATAGGGAGATGCGCATCGGAGGATAAAAAGTCCGCTTTTTCCTCTAAGAAAAGTTTAAGGCATACCCACCCATACGTCGTCGCGCCTAGGCTCGATGTATTGCAACCTACCTGGCAAGTTGCTCCACATATGCAGCGCAAAGTAAACATTGAAAGTCTCATGATTATCGACATGAGCAGATGCATACCACTTTAGCGGGTCAGCAATAACGTGGGCGTTTAAGGCGTGTAATTTAGAACAATCTTCGCGTCTGGCGGCATGATCTCCAATGTTTCGCGGAGCTGATGCCAGAGATGGGCTTCTACAACATGTATATAAAAGATTCCGAGATATTGTATTGGCTATATTAATAGGTAGGTGGTTGTTGATTAAGCCGGCAAGAGTTGAATTCCAAGTATATATAGTATAGATCTGAAACACACACACACAAAAAGTAACACATCTGTAAAACAGGAGTCTATGTCGAGGGTAATTATGCTGGTTATTATTTGATGTCATCGAATAAGTTTGATCCAAAATCGCCGTTATCACTCTCGAGGTGCACTAGCTTGGGAATCTTGGGCGGCGGTTTATTATCAGAGGGCGGCTTCGGTGTGATCGTATTTGTCGATAGATGCGGCTGCTGCTCGAGGCTTAAAAGACTCGAGCGCCTCCTCGACTGGTTCTCTCCCGTTCTTAGACGCTTGAACCAGCCGCTCGCTCGCTTCTTCTCCGAGTCTGCGACGCTGGAGCCGCTCTGGCTTTGTGGGCGATACACATTGACAATATTGCGCCCGTTGTTATCTTGAAATGCGCTTCCTTTTGGATTGTTATTGAATGTAGCAAAAAAAATTATCAATGACAGCGGACTGTACCCTGTTGACCCGAGATGGCAGGACTCGGTGGCGCGTCTTCGGGAATCGTCGTGTCAGCTTTCTCTTGGGCCGCTACTGTCGCTGGAATCGCTTGTTTGCCGCTGATATTGCCATCACTGGTTTTGGGCGTTCTCGCTGGCGTAATCGTCGGCTCGATCGGAGACTCCGGCGGTGGAGGAATATCGGTGCCGTCGGTGATGCTGCCAAAATTCAGGTTGAGGGCAGGCAGCAGCTCAAAGCGCGAGCTGGCCACGCTCTTGTTCTGCTGCGAAGACATGGTGTGTCGACTGCTCAGCTCGTCAATTAGGATGTTAAAACGAAGCCCGAGACCAGCCGGTCGATTGACAATGCTCTGTGCAGATCATCGCTGGAGAGGAACACAGGCACCCTGGCAGTCACGGTCCCCATGGAGTTACTATACCCCCCTATAATCTAGAGGACTGATGCTAAGCAGTACCTCGTACTCCGTTGTGTACCAAAGCCACTATTAGGCGTTAGTTAAACTTGCATGCGAGCTTTTAAATTAGCTTGAGGAAGCATTTGCCAATTTTAAATGTATATACATATATCAGTATAAACATTTAATAATAATAGAAACTATTAACATAGTACTTTAGTCAGATCTTATTTTATTAAATCAACAAGATGGTATGCTTTGTTTGATGATAAATCCGTATTGTAAGAAAACAGCTATTAATGTTACGCACCTCGTATAACAAGTACTGGGCAGTAGTAAAGTCTATGTACTGGTACTTCTGGATGAGCACAGACTCTAGCTCACCTACTAATACTCTGCCACTTCCAATTCTTTTATCGATTAAGCTTATCAGAACTTTTCCTAATTTATCGCGCCTCGACTGCGTCTCTCACATCATGTACATGGCATTCTACGCTCAGCCATGGCACAATTCCTCCCCCGTCGCTCATTTAGTGTTCCGTCATCAATTCCCAAGTCTTATTTCCTAGGCCACCATCACGCCGCTGTCAGTAAACTAAAGACGGTCCTCCCAAGAGTGTCGCTGGTTCTTGAATGCCGCGACTTTCGACTGCCGCTGTCAACTCACAACCCTGTGCTTGAAAAAGCAGTGATTGGCTGCCCAAAGATTATCGTATATACGAAACATGACCTAGGTAGCGATAGCCCTGGCGCCCGGCAACTGCTGCAAAGGTTGCATGGCCGCCGCGCCTTGTTTTGGGATAAGAATCACCCTGGAGCAACGGCATCTCTGCTAAAGCGGCTGAAGGAGACTGCTTACGAGGTAGACTCCATAACCGGGCTGTGTGCGCTGATAGTGGGCATGCCCAATGTGGGTAAGAGCACGTTATTAAACGCCCTGAGAAACTCTGGGACGCTGGGGAGGAAGACAAAAGTAGCAAAGACTGGTGACCAAGCCGGCGTAACCCGTAAAATTGGCACAAGCGTCCGTGTGGTCGAGCCAGAGGAGCGAGGGGGCGTCGGCGCTGGCGTATATGTGCTCGACTCGCCAGGAGTTTTCATGCCGTATGTCGAAGATGGGGAGGCTATGATGAAGATCTCTCTCGTACAGGGTATCAAGAAAGGACTCATAGCGGACGAGATACTGGCGGATTATCTCCTCTATAAGATGAATATTTGGGACCCTCAAATCTATAGTCGATACTGCGAGCCGACAAACGATGTACAAGAGTTTCTCTCCGCCGTGGCAAAGCGCGACGGCAAGCTGAAAGCTGGCGGCGTGCCTGATATGGAGGAGTCCGCGGCCAGGGTGCTGTCTGAATGGCGGAAAGGTAAACTGGGCAAATATGTCTTGGATGACCTTTCAGATGAGGCCCTTCGAAATCACGAATTGATGGTTAGTAGTCCTCCATTAAGTCTGAGTCAAGGGAAGAAGGCATGGAAAGAACAAAAGAAAGAAAAAAGCGCCTAAAAGGGGCGCAGAATGGGGTTTGGGTTTTGTTCATCAAACGATATACCATTTTTGATTGGCAAAAACTGTAAGATATAGACTTCATGATAGTATTTGGAGGACTAATCTCATCGACACGCGAAAATAGCTGGCGATGATGTTTTTGAGTCTGAACCTAAATGACAAGAAAAACAACAAGGGGGTCCAGGAAGAAAGAATAAAAGAAGAAAAGAAGAAAAAAAGAAAAAGGAAAAGAGGAAACAAAAGGACGAAGAACATAACTAGGCTCAACCAATGTTAAAAGCAGCGCTTTCCACCCATGCTGCGCCGTGCAGTAATAAAATGATAAACAGATAACCAGCCATTATATCCCAACGCCTTTCCCAGAAAAAGACACTTCTGTTAAAACAGCTCAAGCATTCCTTCATAGACATAATATGCAAGCTTTCTGACTGATACGTGTATGTAGAGCATAATTCCCTATCATGCGTATTGATTCTGCCATTTGACCATATCCCGCGTGAGAACGTCCATCATCTCCATGCAGCTCAATTCCTTGAAGATCTTTGACTCAGGAGAGTCGCGCTGTTCCTTGGCATCTTTTTCCATTGGCGACTTGGTAGGATCAAGCGGCGATTGAGTTGAGTTGCTACTTCGGTCCAATGCGGCTTCGGCCGCCAAGTCAACCTGTGTTCTTGATATGAAGTCCATAATCGCGGCCACCCGTCGTTTCATATCCAGCATGCTCATCTTCCCGGCCATGCCTAATTTTGTCCTTGAGCTGTTCTTGTGGTCTCCTACGTGTCTAGAGTGCGCAGCAGTTGTTGCATTGTTGGCTCGCTGGGTGTCTCGTGATACAGATCGCGCGGGTGAACGTTCGATATCCGCAGTGCGGTCTTTCGTATACTGATTTTTTCCTTTGCCCTTTTTGTGGTTGCTCCGTGACGTTCGTTTATTCGAATTTGCGGCAGACGAGTGCGATGTGGGAGGCGTTCCTGGAACAGGGGATGGTACAGCAGGTGTAGGGTCTTCAAAAGCTGACGTTTCCGCACCGCTATTATTGGGGGCCTTGGAAGACGGGAGATTCACGTCCTCTGATACGTCGGAATCTGGGGTTTTCGTCAGTGTTCATGCCACCCTGCAGACAACAAAGGGCAGTTACCTTCAGTACGTCGCCTATCTGCCCGCCCTTTTCGTTTACTGATATTTTCCTGCCGCAGACGATCCTTTTCCTCTCTCTCTGATCTCTCCGTAGCTTTGTAAGTTCGGGGTCGTTTTAGTCCATTGCGCCCGCTGTTCTCGTCATCCGTGTTTTCTTGACTAATGGTGTCCATTGGCATTGGTGGCGGTGTGGTGGATTGCGAATTTGTGCGTTGCCGTTTAACAATCACATTATTCCTGCTGGCGGGGTTAGCAATCCAACACAAACAAAATTTCTCGAGAATACAGTCCAAGGACATACTCCTCACTGTTACTACGCCCTCGTTTTGTGCGCCTATTCGTGATTTCTGTTCCATCTTGGCCAACTTCTTCCTTGCTCGCTTCAATTGCTCGGCGCAACTGTTCGTCGTCATAAGCGGCATCGCGGCTATTCATCGTAGACCGCCGTTTAGATATCTGTGACGTCGATTGGGATCGAGCCGATTTGGAACTGCCCAGCCTCGGCGATCGGGCTCCATCTTTTGCAATGGATGTAGCTCGAGACGCAGTTCTAGCTGGTCGACTCAAAGGTAGATATTTGGAGTATTTTTGTCTGTTGTCTAGTTAGATTTCACCCTCTGCATAATAGGTTTGAGGATAGGGTCAGCCTACCCATTATTTGCTGTGTGGATTTTGTGGAAATCTTTCCGACATTGCTCACAAAAGTATTCTTCGGGAGAACTCTCGGCACTGAAGATGCCGACACAAGCTCCATGCTGCCATACTTTGCAAATATCGCACTGCACAAAAAACCCAGTAACGTCTTCTGTGAGTTCGATCGAAGCGAGGAAGTTGGCGTCGGAACCGTCGACAGGCGGGCGGCCAGGGTAGTCCTCGCAGCCACATATGCACCGAACCGCCTCGTCCTCCTCGTCTTGCAAAGGATCTAGTTCGTTGGCCATATCTTGGGCCTCGTTCCGCAAGTTCTTGTACTGTTCGTCGTCGTGGCCGCGCTTCCGCCTTCGGCCAAGAAGGGTATCGTCGATATCGTCCAGCGGATCGGACGATACAGATGCGCTGGGTGTGGATTTGTTCGATTGGGGCCGGTTGAGGGATCTGGTATGTCGTTCAAGGCGGCTGAAATTGGTAGATGAGAGGGACTGTTGAGAATGAGAAGCCAACGCGCGAGCTCTGGAAGATCGTCGTGGCGAGGGTGGTGCCATTGAATACTGTAAGCACCGAATGAAAGAAAAAGGATGCGCAATAAAAACAAGAGGCGGAAAAGAGTGCGGTCAAATGTCTAACATCTAGTCAAGCCTGAATTGTATTCTGGTGGAAAGAGTCTGAAAGGTTTAGGCAAGGTAGAGCAGAGCCGTATTTTTGGAGAAGCAGACGACTAGAAAGAGTGGCTCGGTACATGCTAACTAAGCGCCGAATAGCGAAGTACGGATGCGGCTAGCTTGGATGGCCACGAGTAAATCTTTCATGGCGCAGGGACGTGGAAACGGTGGCCCAGACAGTGCATGATGCGCAATCTACTGAGGTTTTCCGCGGTAGATTGATATCCAGTGAGTAGATCCGGTGGGCAGATCGATGGTCAATAGCTCGCTGGAATTTGTTGGATTCAGCTTTGCCTCAGTGACGTGCACCATCTGTAGCTCAAGACCAGCTTTTTTCGAGCAGGAATTCCGACCCTTGTCTGCAGCCTAAGATGACTGCCCCAGTTAGCATCTAAGCTCCATGGCGAGAAACTTTATAGGGTGGAGGAATAAATGGGCAAAGTCAGCCGTCAACCACGCTGTCAAAGCAGTCAGCCCAAAGCCACCCTTGAAGGATAATCAGGTACTGCTTGCTCTTCAGCCGCGATTTGAGACGATGCACCTTGGTCAGGCCGCTGTCCAATAAATCGACAATTAACCACTGCAGTAGTAGCGGATGACTGCCTCCGCTGGTACCCATAAATATAGGCACTTCCTTGATTCCGGGCGTTTTGGCAGAGTTCCAGACCTAAAACAGCCTAGCAGTATGCAGTACTGCCGACTCCACCTCACCACGTCGTAGGCCTATGATGTATTCGGTACGTTTTTACAATCCTCGTATCAGCAGCTTACCCAGTGCATTTTAATTTCAATTGTTTCCGCTTCCTTCGGCGACGATTCATTCTCTCGTTTCTTCTGGCTTCGTTCGCCTTTACTTACATGGTTTTAAGACCGCACTCAGGTCTATGCCGTGACGGCGCGACTCAATAATTCACCATGTTCAAGCGCTCGCGACGACGCGATCATTCGCTTCAGGTAGGCCAGCCCTTGTCGCAAGATACGTTCTGCTTTGCTCTTTTGCCAAACCGCGGGCGTGTTCGATGACCTCAATGGGGGACATATTCCTCATCTGCCATCAGCCATCAGCCATCCGCCATCAATCATCAGGCCGTTTGCGAAACAATTTGCTAAATAAGCTATAGCCACCTCTTACCAAAGAGACAGCCGCTCCCGATGCTGCCATGGCCGCGGCATCCGCGTACATGCGTGGCAACAACAGTCCAGCCCCATCATTATCATCAGCAGCCGCCGCCGCAGCCTTGCGAGCGCAGCCAGCGCCACTCACAAACGTTGCGGAAGCTCCGTCCAAAAGGGTCCAGCGACGGGCTTCCTCGCTGTCGTCCCCTATCGGTGGCCGCGATCGAGGAAAGACTTCCAAGCTGTCTAGAACGCCCAGCGTGAGCTCAATGACCGAGCGGACCTTTCGATCGCCATCGCCGGGTCGTGCGGCTCCTAATAAGAAGCAAGATGTACCACCTGTCCCTAGCATGCCCGCCTCTAAAAATATCACAACCCAATTAAAAACTCAAAATTTCCGAACTGCAAGCCAGAAATCCAAAGGTCATCCGCAAGGCGCTTGGTTTGGAGCCGCCGTAATTCAAAATGAGCAAATGCCAGAATCGATACCGAAATCGTCTCCTGATTTACCAGAATCTCGATCAGGAAGTGTTAGTTCCTCGATCAACTTTTCATATCCCCGGCGCATGCCATCATACGATTCAAACCTGCCGGCTGAACACGAACTCGTTTATGATCCGAATTCTAGAAGAATGGTTCCAAAGGCCGCGGCTATGACAGCAAGCCGTCAGGCTGAGGACGTTGTTCTAAAATCATCCGAGAAAGCTAAGGGAACAAAGCCAGTTAAAAAGGGTCAAGCAACACAAGAATGGGTGAATGAAATGAATATACCGCCGCCCAACCATATCCGAACGCAGTCTCCTTTGTTAGCATCTAATCAGTCAAATGACGCAGACTATTTTGAGAAGAGCAACCCGGATGACATTTCCGGTTCTAGCCGACTGATAACTGCAGCGGTTGAAAAGCCTTCACCAATGAGAGAAATTGGAAACAAGGCTTCCAATGATTTTCAACTTCAAAAAGATCTTCACAATGAACCACTTGAAATTCTGGCGTCGGCAAAGACGTCGGCGAGTGTATCGCCCAGCTTATCCAAATACGACAACTTCAAGGTTGAAGCTCCTTTTTCATATGCCGGATCTAGTTCAGAGACATCCGTACGTTCGGCACATTTTGCTTCATCGGCTGATCGTCTGGCTGTTGTTAAACACGAGCCTCCACCGCGCTCTCTATCGCCCAGAAAATCCGCCATGAAATCCTCTATTTCGAGTAGAGGAAGTTTGTCCCAGAATCCTAATGAAATTCTGGAGTACTCGGGGCTTGGCATTTCTCATCTTAGCGGAGAGGATGCCGCGGCAGGTCAGAAAAGGGGTGCCAGAGTAAGCTGGAACGATAACAGCACAGTCATGGCTATCGAACCGAGCAAATTTGAGGAAGCAGATACCACAGCAGCATCCAACAGTCACTCAAGACAGAAAGCATATAACGCTGTCGATGGACAAAGAACGACCACCGAATCTACACTGCAGGAGGATGAACTGATGTCTCCCCGGCCGGCTCTTCCATTATTTGGAAGCGTGCGCGACAAAAAGGGGAAGGAGCCCGAGGAGCGACAGCTTGTTCGCCCGCGGGAGCGATCGTTATCGCCTCAGTCAATGCCGCCATCCACTTCTCATGCATCATCTTTTGCGCCCAAGAATGAGAACATCCCATCGGTAGAGCCAGTCAAGGGGCTCAACTTCAACCGAGACCAGGGGCCAAGAAATGTAGCAAACATTTCAAAGTACCGAGAGCCATTACCATCTATTATGGCGTCTACCGAAAGTCTTGGGTATGAAGGCGAAGAAACGGACAGCTCGGATGACGAGCGTTTTGAAGACGTATTGACTGGCGCGGACGAATCAACGTCTCACCCCCCCTCCAGAGACTTATTACCAGATCCATCCTCGACCTCCTCAGGCAATGAAGCTTACAAGGCGAGCTCGGCAACCATCGGTGGATTGCCAGGCAATTTCAACGAAACGCCCTTTTCGCCACCGGAGATGCAATATGACGGTTTTGTACCAATGGCTCGATCAAACTCTCTCCCAGGTAGTTTCCCGCCTGAGGACAATATTCCCAAGTTCAGCTCGGACGACGCAAATGGCTCTGCCGCGCCAATGTTAACTCAGGCTTCAGGATCCAAGGTGGTCAAACTTACCCAATTGATTGGTGAAAACAAGATCGAGGAAGAGTCGGATAAAGATAGCATCTACAGTGACGCTTACGAAGACCAACCTGAGGCTGCAGAAGACGGTTTCATGTCAATTGACGCTGCATTGGCCAATCCGCTATTCTCTCAATCAGGCAATAACAAGTTGAACTTAAACGCGAATCACGAATCAAAACTGCCGAATGATGATGCCGATGCTGATGACTGGGAAAGAACCAAGGCATACTGGAAAAGCTTGTCGTCTGATGAGAGACGCCGATTAGAAATAGAAGCTCTCCAGGAAGCAGATGATGATATTCTCCACGGGGGTTTAGCAGCAAAAAGCTCCGCGGCCTTACCCAATGCCTCGGGTTATTCTCCTAAGGCGAAGCAAAAGAAGCAAATTCACCAATCTCAAGTTGAAGGCCCGTTACCAGCCGACTTGGCACCATCATCCAGAGCAACTCAAGACCACAATGATCCTTTGAGGCAGATAGATGCTCATACAGGGCGTCGTTCGCTTCAACCCCCCGAGGCTACGAAAACCAGTAATACAGCGACAGGGCGCGGCTTCAAAAAACTAGCAAAACTCAAGCGCTCCCTCAGCAGTGAGCCAAGACATGCGGACGATAGTCGAGGCTCCGTCGCCCGGCCCAGCTCCCTATATAGCCCCGTTATCTCAACAGGCTCTGGCCCGAAGCACGGATCAAGGAATCCTGAAACTCCTGTGGAACAACCAGCCACAAACCCAGCAATGAATGCGAGTATGAAGTCTTCTCTGAGACGACGAGGGTCCGATTCCAGCGAGAGCAGCTTCGTGCGCAGTAGATCAGCTAGCGATACGCGCCATGGATTCAGGGCATCAATGAGAAGCAACATGGCTGAGTCAAAGCTATCAATGGGCAGCACAAGAGCCGGAAAGAGGATGACTTTACGCTCATTATCACCCTCAGCATCGCATGCACAGCGCCATTCAGTCGCACCTACATCTTATTCTGAGACAGTGACCGTGCATCAAGGGAATCGTTCATTCCACCAAAGCGCAGCCGCACCACAAACCAACCGATCTTTTCCAAAACGGTATGAAGATTCAGCATATGAGGATCACTTGTCAGATTCTAGCGATGATGATCTAAACACCACTCCATTGACGAACCGTTCGCTGACGGGCGATGAATACGAGCCCGCTCATTCCAAATTGAAGAAACGTTCTTTTTCTCATTTGTACGCACGCAATAAAACTCCCGACCACAACCACAACCCCAACCCCAATGCAGGCATTGTGTCCAGTTCACAGAAATCCAACAAGCTCAAGCGGAGAGACGACCAGTATCACAATGAGGGAGAAACACACATGCCTCAAAGGCCGGTCTCTCAGCCAATTAGTGCTGCTGCAGCACAAGAAGCCTCGTCCCGCCGGCCAGGATTGATCTCATCGTTCATGCGCAAGAAGGATCACCGCGAGACGCATGAACTACACCACAATACGGAAGACGCACACAGCAGCGGCTGGCCACTGCAGAACAGGAGAGCCATGCCCAATGAACTCCCAATGACGTCACCGACTGAAGACGGGGGAAGAAGGTCCGCAGCTAGCGGCTCGATTGGCCTGACGTCAGATCCCCGCCAACAACACGAGCTTCGCGGGAGCTCAGATCCAGGCCAAGTAGAGCATAAGCGAAAGAAATTTAACAGCCTACGCAAAATGTTTAAAATTAATGACTAGATAGTTTTATATAGGACTTGTAATTTTCCAGAATACCCAATAAACTAAACTCAAATACGAAATCCAATTAATTCAAATACGAAATCCACATTTTCACATTTTCACAGCCCATCTTGATCCAGTTAGGCAGCCGCCGCTAAGACGCGCGAGCACTATACTTGCAGCTACCCAAACGTGAAGCTCGAAGCTTGAGATAACAAGTAACATGTCATTTGCCAACAATTAGCGCAGCTACATATTAATTTAATTGCGGTGCGACTCTAATCCATTCTTTTCTTTTTGCCTCAGCGCACCATATATATCATAATATCTCTCATAGTTTTCTGGATCGCCGAAGCTCTGTTTCTCTCAAGCATACATAGTGCGCGCCAGCTCTCCTTTCAGCTACCCCGCCTCCCACGTCCGAAGCATTTTTGCGCCATGGCAGCTCAACCAGAGCAGCAGAGCAATCCCCAGGATGGCACAGGTTCGAGACAATGAATTGCCAAAGAGTACTGCTATTTGATCTAACTAAGGGATAACAGGCGTCATCAAGCTGGACCCCTGGCTAGCCCCATTTAGCGAGGCGCTGAAGCGGCGATATTCTAAGGCGCAGCACTGGATTAAAGTTATAAACGACAATGAAGGTGGCTTTGAGAAGTTTTCCAAGGTACGGACGCTCATTAGTATATCCAGGGCTTTTCCCTTGAGCGAAAAAAGATAAAACTTCAAGAGACATGAATAACACATGGCGACTTTCTAGGGCACTGATATCTACGGCTTCAATGTGGACAGCAAGAACAACATCATCTACCGCGAGTGGGCGCCCAACGCCGAGCAGGCGTATCTCATCGGTGATTTCAGTAAGCCTCTATTATATGCGTGCAGTCTCGGCGATGCAATTGACACCAATTGGTATAGATGGCTGGAATATGACGTCCCATCCCATGAAGAAGAATGAGTATGGAGTCTTTGAGATCATTCTTCCCGCCAAGAACAACCAGAAGGCCATACCACACAATTCCAAGGTCAAGGTAGCTCACCAGATACATCTTCCCAAGCCAACTGTCTTTGCTAACCGTCTCAACTGATTAGATCTCCCTCGTTCTCAATGGAGGACATCGAATTGATCGCCTGCCAGCTTGGATCAAATATGTCACCCAAGATCTTTCTGTTTCGCCAGTCTATGATGCTCGATTTTGGAACCCGGAACCCGCAGCGAAATATTCGTTCAAGCATCCACGACCAAAGAAGCCGCAAAGCATTAGAGTGTATGAGGCCCACGTCGGAATTTCTTCTCCGGAGCAGCGTGTCACTACATACGACGAGTTCACCGACAACTTGCTTCCCAGAATCAAGGACCTTGGCTACAATGCTATCCAACTGATGGCTATTATGGAACATGCTTACTATGCTAGTTTCGGATACCAGGTCAACAGCTTCTTTGCTGCGAGCAGCCGGTATGGAACTCCTGAAGGTTTGAAAAGGCTTGTGGATACTGCTCATCAAATGGGAATTGTCGTGCTGCTGGACGTGGTTCATAGCCATGCGTCTAAGAATGTACTTGATGGACTCAATGAATTCGATGGAACCGACCACCAGTACTTTCACAGTGGAGGCAAAGGCAACCATGATCTTTGGGACAGCAGACTCTTCAACTACGGCCATCACGAGGTCATGCGATTCCTGCTGAGCAATCTCCGATTCTGGATGGACGAGTATCACTTTGATGGCTTCCGCTTCGATGGCGTTACCAGCATGCTCTATCTGCACCATGGAATTGGAACGTAGGTCAAATATCTATTCTTCTTATGAACTGGTAATGTTAGCTAACCGACCCAACCAGTGGGTTTTCTGGCGGATATCATGAGTACTTTGGGCCTGATGTCGACGAGGAGGCTGTTGTATACCTGATGGTTGCTAACGAGATGCTGCACTCGCTCTATCCCGAGTGTGTAACTGTCGCCGAGGATGTGTCGGGAATGCCGGCTCTGTGTCTTCCCCTTTCGCTCGGCGGCGTGGGTTTCGACTACCGACTGGCTATGGCCATCCCTGATATGTGGATCAAGATTCTCAAGGAGAAAACAGATGAGCAGTGGGATCTTGCCAACATCTGTTTCACTTTGACCAACCGACGTCATGGTGAGAAAACCATTGCCTATTGTGAGAGTCACGATCAAGCGTATGTTATACCCCTAATCGATGATGGGGCCGTCACTAACGTTTAGATACATTCAGGCTTGTTGGAGACAAAACTTTGATGATGCATCTATGCGATGCGCAATTATATGATAACATGACCACTCTCAAGCCGTTGACGCCCGTTATTGACCGTGGAATGGCGCTGCACAAGATGATTCGACTTCTTACGCACGCATTGGGTGGCGAGGGCTACCTCAACTTTGAAGGCAACGAGTTTGGTCATCCTGAGTGGCTTGATTTCCCTCGAGCTGGAAACAACAATTCATTTTGGTACGCCCGTCGACAGCTGAATCTTACGGAGGATAATCTGCTTCGATACAAGTTCCTCAACACATTTGACAAGTTGATGAACCACTGTGAAGAGCGTTATGGCTGGCTCCACGCGCCTCAGGCTTACATCTCCCTGAAGCACGAAGGCGACAAGGTCATTGTCTTTGAGAGAGCGGGACTTGTCTTCATTTTCAACTTCCACACCAGCCAGAGCTTCAGCGACTACCGCATCGGTGTTGAAGTGCCCGGTGAATACAAGATTGTCCTGAACAGTGACGCAGAGGAAGCGGGTGGCCACAACAGGCTCGATGAGAGCACTCGCTTCTTTACAACGCCCATGGAGTGGAATGGGCGGCAAAACTGGACCCACGTGTACATCCCATGCCGAACAGCTATTGTAAGTCTTTATTTTGCCAACCTCTTAGAGATCTCACGCTAACTCGAGATATTTAGGTTTTGGCTTTGGCTTAGTGATCTAAGGGTCTATATATTATGGCTAGTTAGCTGTGATATTTCCATTGTTTTTATAATGTACTTTTTTTTTAAAAAAAAAAAAAAAAAAAATGTTACGCTTTAAAGATACTGCTCATTATAGCGTAGGCCATGTGTATTATTATATCATTGCATGATGTAGGAGGGACTGATGCTAGCAGCTACTGGTGAACTAGAGTTGCACCGGAAAGAATTATTAACCACCCGATAGTAATAAAGCATTCAATATGATTCAGCTAAATCAAGATTCCGTCTGTCCGATTGCTATACCAATTGCCCCACACCCCAATTGCTCTGGGCCGATGTTAGGAGGTTCAAGCATTATATATGGAGACCTCCACGATGTCGTCGAGATAGCTCCTCGGCTCTAGTGGGGTAAGAGGGGCAGTTTACCGGATAGCAGCGTTGAAGTTTCCAACTTCAATTGCGCCTTTCCACCATTGGCACGTGCTATGGCTGTCTAATTTTACGGTTATATCTCCATATCTTGTTACTCATATCAAGCCTCGATTAGCAATGCTGGGCCGTCCTCATCTAGCTCCATGCGCTCTACCACGGGCCGGGCGCGTCGTTGGACGGCTGTTTTCTAATCCTCTATCGCAACAGACTATCCGGCGCCGGTCTGGCCCGTATGGCTACACTCAGGCCAAGGCTCTTGTCTTTTCTCAGAATGGAGAGCCATCCGACGTATTGAAGTGAGTGCCTATCACCTTATCACCCAATTGGAAGTCTTGCATTAGACTCAATCAATCGATTGGCTAACAATGCCAACGTAGACTTCACACGCACTCCATCTCTCCCTCGCTCTCGTCTAAAGCTGTCCTGCTGCGGGCTCTTGCGGCCCCCATCAACCCTGCCGATATAAACACCGTCCAGGGCACGTACGGCTCCCAGCCCAGCTTCACCTCCCTCATCGGAACCTCTACCCCGTCCGCGATCCCCGGAAATGAGGGCGTCTTCGAAGTTCTCGCCACGGGCGATCCGTCTTCCCCAGTTCACAAGGGAGATTGGGTGATACCGGCCGTTGCGCAGTTTGGCACGTGGAGGACCCATGCCGTGGCAGACGTAGACCAGATGATCAAAATCAATAAACAAGGGCTGAAGGCGACTCAAGCGGCGACCATCTCCATCAACCCCGGCACGGCCTATCGCATTCTGAGAACATATGGCCCCAACGCTGGTATCAGCAAGGGCCTTGGCATGCGGCCGCTCGAGGTGGGCAGCGGCGAGTGGTTTATTCAAAATGGGGCGAATTCCGGAGTGGGCAGAGCGGCCATACAGTTTGGCAAGCTCTGGGGCCTCAGGAGCATCAACGTCATTCGCGAACGAAGCTCCCCTGAGGCGACGGAGGAGTTGAAAAAAGAACTCACGGGTCTTGGTGCCGACATTGTTGTGACGGAGGCACAGTTCCTTTCTCGGGAGTGGAAAGATCAGCTGGCGGAAATCACAAACAAGGGCCGCGAGCAGATTGGACTGGGCCTGAATTGCGTCGGCGGCAAATCCGCCACGGCGCTCGCTCGTTCGCTCGGTGAGGGCGCCACGATGGTGTCGTATGGAGGCATGGCTAGGCAGCCGGTTGCTCTGCCTGTTGGGTTGCTCATCTTCAAAGATATCCGCTTTGTTGGCTTCTGGCTTTCGCGATGGAACCAGCAGGATCCTACCGGGCGTAGGCACATGACTGATTATATCGTAGATAGTATCCGCGAGGGTAAGTTCCAAGACGTTCCTCTGGATGAAGTGGCGTGGAACTGGGAAACGGAGGCTTCTACCCTAACAGAGGAGGTTCAAAAAGGCCTTCAGGGCTTCAGAAAGGGTAAAGGCATATTTGTGTTTGGGGATACATGAATTGATATCTAGAAACGACAAACGTAAATGAAAAGGACTACAGCACATGTGCGTAAATGGATTTTGATGTAAAAATATAGGCTAATGGGATGGAATGGAATTTACTGTATTCAATGGAATGATCAAATAATATTTGAGGTTAGACAGGGCAGCTTTTTAGCTTAATCGCTTCTATTTATATTACAATATATATACATGAAACGCCTATTCTTGCTATGAAGATCCAACATCAACCCGCCATGTTTGAACGAGTCCATCGTCGCCTGTTGTAACCAGCATTTCCTCTTCCCCCTTCCTTGTTGAGCCCGCATCATAACGCCTACACCAGGTGATGTGGTTGATCTCGTATGGTCCATGAGCACTGGGCACTGTGGTCAGTAGCTGCCATTGTGGCCCGCCAGCAGCAGAGCTGTTGTGATTCAAGCTCGCGTTCCTATCCGAGGTGTTGGCCTCGGAGACTGCCGGGGGGTTCGATGGAACAGCAGCTTCTTCCTCTTTGTATAAAGCAATCACACCATCACTCCCCGTGCTTGCAATGAGGCCAGATTCAGCGCTCCATGTGACTGAGTATACATCCTTGTCGTGCACCTTGGGGAGCACAGCCGTGCAGTTCCACTGCTCTCTAAAAGACCGTCGCATTGTGCTTGGAATACCGCCCAGGCCCTGAGCCATCGCTGAGGCCTCCCCATCAGCGTTGTCTTGCCCTTGCTCAAGCGTCCACACACGTATTGTCCCATCAGCCGAGAATGTCAAGAGTCTAGGGAATCGATTATCTCTCGGCTTCGGTTCCCATTCCACACCCCAGACGGTGCCTTCATGTCCTTGGAGAACAGCCACGCAAACCCATTCTCCGTCCGAATCCTCGCGCCAGATTCGACCTGTGTTATCGTAGCTGGCGCTGGCAAGAACATCGACGCTGTAGTATCGCTGCCCAACGCTGTTGCGCCCAGGCACATCAGGACACCAGGCCACAGCTTTGACGTCTCCCTCGTGCTCGTTGAGGACGGCAATCGTCTCCCAGTCGTCTTCCGATTCGGAGCTAGCAATGTCCTCCCATATCCAGATGGACTTGTCGCGCGAGCAGGTCGCAAGGTAGTTGCCCGGCGGATTAAACGCGCAGCATTTGACTTCGGAATCATGGCCCTCTAGCACAAGGTTATAGTCCCATTCGCCAGACTTGGCAGCCTCGTCACCCGCCGGCCCTCTTGACATGTCCTGGCCCAGACTATCGCCGTCGTCCTGGTCGCTGCCCTTGTTCCAGCGCCAGACGCCGGCGGAAGAATCGAAGCTGCCTGAGATGAGGCACAGCTCATGCGGCGGCAGCGTAGGTTTCCAGGCGACGCTTCGGATGGATCGCGCGTGTCCTTCGGTCAAGGCGCTGTGGAAAGAAAGAGTCGATAGAGAGAAGACAGTAACATTCTTGCCGTGGGCGGTTGCGATTAGAGGGAGGCTCGGATGCGGTATCGATACCCAGGCTCGTTCATGGAGATCAGGCTTGAGCGACTGCAGCTGGACAATGTGTGTAGAGGCCATGGCCGGGCCTATCGGGGCAGGAATATCCTGGGCTGCTCAAAGTGGGTGGGAAAACAGCTCGCAAAGCAATCCGATTTCAAAAAGTACACATTGGAGAAGACGTATAAGTAAGCACAAAAAGGTGGGATGCAATGCCCCGCGGCGATTGCGAAACCCCCACCACCTGCAGCATCATCCAATGAGGGCCAGATGATGTGTAGCTTGTGAGCTTAAAAGCCTACATTAAATATCCAGATTCTGCAAAACCCCTTGTAAGCGTAAATACAACCGAATACAGGTGCCTACATGTAGTGCAAGTGTTAGCATCTTCAAGTGTATTGGTTGGGACCTCGGTTTTGTTTGGACAGCTGAGATTCTCTAGGTATTTAGGCATGCAAGTAAAGCTTGGCAAGCCCCGTTGCCCCCGATCATTTATTAGTCGCTCCTGCCTAGCACAACGACCCTCTTCGCAGTGGGCACTATCTGAATTCGTCAATGGCCGAGATAAGTGTCGTACAACAGATATATAGATATATAGAGTGAGCAACGGGACAACTTACAACATCTTCATAAATAGCATTCATCTATAGCGAGACCATAGCTCTAGCTATCCCAACCCTCAAAATAGCGAGCCTCATAGCTCTCCCACTCGAATTATCCCTTCATATAATCAGCTTCCTCGATTTTAGCGACAAAGTCCATCTGAGTGCAACATGCAGGTCATACAGAACTCAATTGATACCCGAAATTTTCGATAGAATACAATTCACCAGCGATGAGGCATCAGCAGCATTTGCATTGGCCGCCGTCGAGGCTTACGGCCAGTACACGAAAACAATCGAATTCACATGTCAATGCGACCATGAAGATAACCCACCGCCAACGGGGCCATCTCTGCCGCCAGCAGCTTGCAAGGTCTTGAAAGGCCTCTTGACGCCAAACTTGCACATGGTCAAACTCGGGTTTAAATTCAACCTCGATGATGAGGACCTCGACCCCTTTGATATCTATGATGCTCCAGAAACCGCCGACCAGGTTTCCATGTCAGAAATGTACGAGAAGTGGCGAGCGCTGATGAATGAGACCTGGGAGGCGCTTGTGGGTAATGCCCTTGTAAGGGAGCTTATACTCGACGAGCTGCCCACAAAATGGACCTCTACATATTATACCGATGCCTTTCACCGTTTTCTTAACCAACTCGAGTCGGCGACGATTCACATATCTGGCATACCATATACAGAGTGGCGGATTAATATCACGGATGAACATGAAGAGTTTCTCAACTGGTTAGGTGCTGGGTTTTTCCGCCATATGGACGGACTCAAACATTTACATCTCCGGGCGACAGATCCGCTCGGCCTCGCCAATGAATGTCGGCCTTACAAAGAGCTTCCTTTGAGTCCTGAAAACCTCCCTGCTTTACAACCTCTCACGCTGGAAGAATGTTTTGTCAGCCCAGAGTTGATTCCGTTCATAAAACGCCACGCTCAGGTCCTCAAATCTCTCCGCCTAAACGAATGCTTCTGCGGGGAAAACTTATCTTGGGCAGAGTTCTTCGATCAAGTACACGAAGCGATGCCCTCACTTACCGAACTGATATATAGACACAAGGCACCATTTACAAGAGAAGAAGAAGAAGACATGTGGTGGGCTGAGGAGCCAGCTCTTCTGCGTGTCCGTCAGAGGCTGGAAGCAGATCCAACACTGAATCTGTTTCGGCGGGGATATTTAGACGCAGATACAGGAGTGCTCTTCTTTGATGATCTCGGTGACGCTCTGAAGCTGTTTGATCTAGGTGATGATCAGAGGGCATACGTTCGTCTCATGGGACTAGTCAATAGAAACAGAGCAGAGGCAAAGGTTGACTATAGATAGCTGCAATGTTCACCCTACAACTTCAACAGATGAGACCAGCTGTCTCCTCCCTTGCGTGTCATCGTCGAAATGTCGCCTGTGATTGGTCATCCGCATTCCTTACCGTCAGCATCGTCATGCCGTCATTGAACATGTAATACCTGATACTTAACAATATGCCTGGCGCGTAAAGCTTGCAATGAGAACAAGGCATAGGCGTCTAGTACCATTTTAATTCAATTTGCAACTTACTCGAATACCTACACTGATAGTATAATAAAAATCTGAATGTCACAATCCAGTCATTCGATGAACAAGCAATACAATTGCTCATAATCCACACAGAGGTCATTAGGCTATTTGCACACTGAGCAAAAGTGTGGTATTCATATCTCATTCAACAAACTGCTAAGACAAATTACGCCACCCACACAGCCGACCGGAGCCCTAAGTTTTTGCTTGCGGTGGAGGTAGGGGATCTGCGTGGGTGGCCACCGAATTGGAGTTGTGTCTGGGCGGTGCGTCTGTATAACCATCTCCGTCTTCATTATCGTCTTCATATCCGTCGCCAGGGTGGGTGGAGCGGCTCTGTTCATTAGTCATGGCGGGTGAAATGTCAGTTGGCCGCGTAGCCTGAGGTTGATCCGGGATATGGTCGTTTGTATGGCCGTTTTTTGCGGATGCCTTGTTGTTTTTCTTCCCCTTTCTGCTTTTTGCTTTTGCCTTTTCTAATAATCGTTTTCGGTCTGCTTCTTCCTGGCGATGTCGACGATCCTTGATTTCGTAATCTCGAATGAGAGTGCGGGGAGGTTCGCCAAAGATGCGCTCGTACTCGCAGAACTCACAAATCCAAATCTCGGCCGAATCTAATAAGCTATGATAGTAGTTTTCCGTAGCAATTTGGCGTCGGTGGCGTGCAGCTATGACCAGTTCCCTCTCTACATGGCCGCGAGACTTTCGAGTAGAGCCAGCAGGGTGCTTACTGACTTGCTTCGATGGGCTACCCTGTGGTACACTGGGACTCGGGTGAGGTGCAGTTGGTAAGTTTTGGGACGACTGAGTTGATACACTTTGGCCTGTGGAGCGGCCTACGGAACGATTAGCGCTGCATCCGTAGGGGGAAAAAAGGCATCTAGATCTAAAACCTACCTGGCCACTGTATAGCTCCGGGTGTTTGTGGCTCACAAGTGAATGTGAACTGAGTAGAAGCAGGCATTGCCCTGTCAGCAGTCGTATGCGGCTGCAACAGACTTCCATTCTCTTGTCCTTGCAAAGGTTCTTTCTCAGCAGTTGCAATCGCATTCGATATAATACCGCCTCCAGTTTGGCCTGCATCTAAGGATATCAGCATACACCATACATTTGTGTACAACTAGATTCAATGAACAGAGCGTACCAGCCGGTGTCCACTGGGATGAAGTAGCCTTTGAACGGCTGGACCAAACATTGCTTCCATCTGGCAAAGCTCGCAGGGGACTGCGTCCATTATTAGATCGCCCAAGTCTCCCTCTGCCGGATCCAGATAGTCCTTGACTACTTGAAACATGCGAATTGTTTGCCGGGGACGCAGCTGGGGCCAGTGATGCTCTACTACTGGATACTTCAGCCACCGGTGACCGAGCTCGCATAGAATTCGATATCGATGACGCACTGGTATCGCCGCCCAAAGAAAAACTGTTGTTTGCTAAAGAGATATCTCCGGTAGTGGGGATTTTCCGCTTCTTCTTGTTGTTGGTGTTTTCAAATGACTCGTAGCCGTCCGCCGAAGAAGCAGCAGAAGGTATCACTTGTAACTCCATCGTCTGGCGAAGAGGGTCCAACGCCGCAGAGGCTTGTATTACCACACTCTGAATTTTCGGCGACGATCCCATCATAAGGGTTTCTCGCAATTCTTCCTTGAATACAGCTGCCATAACAGCCCCATTCCGTCGCAACGTAGAATTCCTTCTAGAATCATCACGATGGTGTTGGAGAGTGGGGCTAATCGATGCCAAAGCGGGTATCCCGTTGTCGTTCCTCGTAGTATAGGATGGATAGTAGAATAGAGGTATATGGTCGTGGATATTAGAGGGATATTTGATCGAGTTGGCTACCTCTGGCGATAACCTTTCCCGAAGTCGGCGTTTCGGCAGGGGCCGAATCGGCCGATCGGGAAATAACAACGACACGGCATCAGGAGACATTATAATTCGTTGTTCTAGTCGAACGAGATTGTTAGCCTCAGAACTGTCAGCAGTGTAATGAGAACGGGGAATATGTAGTGGGGTAAAAGGGTAAATGCCCAGTTTGAGTGTTATCGCAGCTGCGGGAAAAAGGCATGGTGAAGCATTGTGATATCATATAGCGGGGCGCAAAAAGAAATCAAGATATAGAAAAATTAGGTTCGAGGACAGTCTACTCGTCCATAGTTGTCTGAAATGTCAGGATAATCGAGAAAAGCCCACCTACCACATATCGTACAAAAAGAAAATCGTTCAGCTTTAGAATAGTGACAAACGGTCGCGAGAACACTAAGTTGTTGTAGATAAAAGAAGGTAAACCGTAGCCGCTATTCAAGCGAAAGAAGAAGAGGGCCGGCCAGCTTCGATGGCTGCTACAGCCTTGAACTTGTGGCCAAAGGCACTGAACGTCGAGATTCGTAATTCGGCGACTTCAACCGGGCGGGCGAATGTCCCCTTCAAAAAGAAAGTCTGGGCGATACGGTCGCAATATGTCGCACAAGAGATTCAACCAGCAAACACAGTCCGATGTTAAAAACCCTCGCCCAAATACCAGATCATTCGTGCGTTCGGAAGATGAGAACTGTGGATTTCTCAAAACATCAGTTGCGGCAAATCTGCCAGCATAGGCGCAAACGGAAAGGGTTTTCGTGTTGGCAGGGGGCGGGCCCTGGCGTTTGATGGTTCGATTTCCAGAGGAGTTGAAATGACCAATATTTTCTGAGCGATCGAGTTCGTGAAGAAGCAAGTGTACCAACGGGCGCAACAGCACTGAGTGTAGGTAGTCGTAATTAATGAATCGTTGGTTGTCTTGTGGATTAAGAGATGTATGGGAACCTAGACAGGACAGACAGCCACCCCACAGTTTGGTAAGCAGGGAGTTGTATTGGTTGCCATACTCCGCACATAGGCATCATACCAGTAGCAACTGTCAAGCAATATATTTTCCACATACAATTGGAAATAGACTAGAGGGGGTTTCATGTTGCTAGGCTATGAATAATAGAATGAAATTGTTCGTCATTATACATATATATTTAACTATGTTCTTATAAAAATCTTCATTTAATTAAGTTTGAATCAGTTTAATAATTATCAACAACATTACTATACTACTAATATGTTGCTATTTTATCAATATCCAGTATACAGCATCTGATAAGAGCAGTTTTACACTGTATAGGTAGCGGGGAAAATACTTATGTAATGATGCAATGCTTTGAATCAGCTCCGCCTGCCCTGTGCTAGGTTAAATGCTCCCTTGTTTAGTTCCTCTACGGAGCACATCATCTTGCTTACAGTACAGTAGCACTTGCTGCACTCCACAGCGGGATCTGAACTGCAGTGAGCGGCCAAATTAACATCAACAATGCGACCGATATAGCTCAAGATCTTGGTTAGGAGACACCCTCGTTCTGCATCGACTCTCGCCGCCGGGTTGCGATGGCTAGTCTAACGGGCCACACTCTTTTCAAGAAGAAAGAGGGTATCCTCTCTTTCAGCAGCGACCATGGAGCGATAACTTGGACACCAGCATCGGGAGGCCCTGCGACGGTCTCACTACCCGTTACCAACATAACTAGTAATTCACGTTGGATTTTCCGTGTACTATAGCTGCAACTGACGCTGGCCAGATCTTCAGCAAACCCCCGATAGCTCTCCGAAGGTTATGCTTAAAATATTTGAAAAGGCCGAGAGCGGAAACGACCCCGTTACATACCTCTTTCATTTCAACACCCAGGAAGCTAAGGCAGAAGCCCAAGCTATCAAAGATCTCCTTTCTCGTCTCTTGGCCGATCTCAGAAGCACCGATGCAAACGTGTCCAAACTAGGTGCTGCCACTGCAGCGCCCGCTGCCAATGGAGATGGCTCAGCAAGCGCCTCTGCCACTCTAGGATCCTCCAACGGCATAAGCTCACAGTCAATGTCTCCAAAATGGTTCGACGATAGTCAATTGAGAATGAACATTGAGCTACAGCAATCTCTCATGAAAAAAGACAAGAGTCTGCATCAAACTTACATGAGCGCTATATCAACCAAGCCAGACTCAATGACAAGTGCCGCCTTCAACTCCCAATTCTGGTCCATGAGAATCAATCTGCTGAGAGCTCATGCCATTGAAATCAACCAGAAAAAGGGGGCATATAATGTCCTTTCTACTGTTAAACCCCGGACTGTTGATGGAGAGTTAAAATTGAACATTAGCGTCGAGCAGGTCCAAATGATCTTTGCTCAGCACCCGTTGATCAAACGAATTTATAACGAGACCGTGCCGAGACTCTCTGAAGCGGAATTTTGGTCGCGATTCTTCCTCAGCAAGCTAGCCAAGAGACTCAAGGGGGAACGCGTCACGGATAATGACCCTGCAGATGCCATTTTTGACAAATACAGTGCTGATGGCAATGCGCTTGATGAGCATGCGAAAACTATGAGCCAGCCTGTTCCTCATATAATTGACATTGAGGGTAATGAGGAGAACCAAGGAGGATTCAAAGGAGGCAATGCCAAGGACGTCGAGATGCGACCTAGAGCTAATATTCCCATTGTTAGGACGCTTAATAATTTGAGCGAGAAAATCATGGCAAATGTTCCTCCCTCGGATAGCACAACCATTGATTCAAAAGGACTTTACGATACGTCCCGAGGACTGATCCTACGAGATTTAAGGGGAGAGGGGGAGGAACAACGTATTATGCTCAATATCAAAGAGAGGAATAACTTTTTCTCATCCAAAGATTCCCCATCGCTAAAAAATAAAGATGTTTTCGGGAACCAACAGCCTACCGAAATTCTCGCCAAAATGCGCAATCTACATGCGGCCGGGACTGATAAGGTCACAGACAATGGGCTGCAAATTAACATAGACCTCGACGTAGATAGTGATAGCGACAAGGAGTCGAAGCCTGGGCTCAATACTGCCCGTGATGCAATTAAAGAGGCAGAAAAGGATGTCATGGCCGGTATACACCAACAACGCTCTCAAAAATACGGGGGCGCCTCAGATGATTCTTCTCCGATGGGAATCCCCTCCCTCATTTCCGAGAAATCCGCGCTTACTCATGCCACAACCATTGAGTTCCTTCACCAGTTTTGGGATGGTTTTCTTTCTGGCGACCCTGATCGGGCGATGGAGGTTCAATATTTGGCTGAATCGCTAGCAAGATCCACGACGCGCATCCAGGCCGTAGCTGACGAGGCTGAGGCTGAACGCGACAACATCATTCAAAAGCGCAAGCAGGAGATCCGTAGCCACTTTGAACGCACAGGAAAGAAAATCCGGTGGAAGCCAGACATGGTGGGCGGCGGCCGTGATGCTGTCTCCAAAGTAATGCAGCCAACGCTAGATGCACTACGGCGAGCACAGGACTGTTATTCCAAGGCATTGGGAGAAGAAAATATCCAAATATCAACGGAGAATGTGTAAATAAACTCTGCGTCTTCTCACCTTGTGAGCTCGTCAGAGCCGGGCATTTCATGCAAAGGGAGGCAAGATTGAAGGTGGGAGATCAAAGATGCCATAGGCCAGCACTGGAGCCGCATATAACATTTGGGCCCTGCAGCTGACGAGGTTGGTAATTATATGCCCCTCTTACAGATGTTTGGTTTGCTTTTATGCTTGCCGCAACAGCATTTGAGAGCTGGGTCCAGCCGAGTCACTCTACCATGGCGCAGCATCACCACCGAAACTACAAAATTTAGATAATCTGGCGTTTTATACACTTATAATACCCCGTATCAATATATTGGTCTCATCGCCTTTGGATGGGTAATTTATCATCTAACAGGAGCATGGCGCTTGTCTTTAACAAATCCAAAACCCATGGCTGACTTGGCGATGCTCCTTTTCCTGTTGCCATATTCCTCGTCAAATTTGCGTATCAGTTTTAGAGATATCATATCCTCGCTAATACTTGCAGGAATACTCTTCAGGGCCTTGTCAAAATGAGATTTGCGAAGGATTCGTCTTTCGGGATATTGGAATGGGGCAGACCCTTTGTGTTTAGCCGCAGCTTCATTTTCTTCTTCCACTGCAGCCATTGCAGCTGCAACGCACATATTCTTGAGATCAGATCCTGAATAGTATGGGGTCCGTCGTGCATATTCATCCAACGAGACAGATTCATCCAGAATTTCGTCTTTAAGTAGTAGTTCTAGGATGGCCCGTCGATCGTTCTCTAGAGGAAGATCAACAAGAATCTTTCGTGGCAATCGCCGCAAGACAGCATCGTCCAAGTCAAAGGGGCGATTTGTCGCAACCATAATAAAAGCACTTGTCTCTTCCATACCATCCCACTCCTTGAGAAATTGATTGATATGCTCACGATGAGACGCTCGGTTAGCAAACATACTTCGACTAGCCAGTAAAGAATCTGCTTCATCGATGAAAACAACGCAGGGTGTCAGCTTCTTAGCCAAGGTAAAGACCGCACGAATGAGTTTTTCACTTTCTCCGACCCATTTGTCATTGATAGAGGCACCGCTGACTTCGAGCATATTGGCGCCGCTGTCTTTAGCCACTGCCTTCGCGAGCATAGTTTTACCAGTTCCAGGAGGTCCGTACAAGAGACAACCTGAGATTTTATCTTGCGCCAAAACACCGTAAGAAAATGCATCTGGTCGCACGAGCGAAAGTGATGTGAGAAGTTTCAAGGCAGATATAGTTTCTGGCGGAGCATGAACATCTGCGAATGTTGTCCGAAGATTTTCTCGGTTAATTTGGCCAGAAGCTATTCTTTTCTCGTATTCATTCAATTTCATTGTGGCTCGGCTTTCCGTTGTGCTATGATCGTCCCTTGTGACGCCATTAACTATGTCACTCTCAGCAGCATCTTCGTTGGAAATTGAATCTCCGGGCCACTGTTGCAGATGGCCTAAAGCAAACCGTTCAAAGAAACCGGAGGGCATGCTGCTGCTACCGGTGCTGGACTTGGGTTGTTCCTGCAATTTGAAGGCGCATGCCAGATGATAAATTTCCGGTGCTGGGAGAATTGAATCTTGCAGTATGGAATACCTGGGATTTGAGGAACGCAGATATAATAAGATAGACTCAAATGACAAGCCAGCTACCTGTGGCGATGCTTCGGGATCTAATGCTCTTAACATACGAGCAATGTTATTGACATTCTCAGCGAGATAGTCAGCTTTTTGTAGGTGGAATGACGGCCCCTGAGTTCGAACATTTCCTCTAGGTGCAGTATACTGTTCGATGAAATCTGGTTGAATATGGCGAGTGACAACAAAGTCATTCGTGGCGAATTCTTTGATAGCATTTCGATACTCTTCCGACGGCTGCTCGCAAGAAGATGATCCAAATAAAGCAATCGATAGTCCTTGTTGCCAAGCAATATCGGCGAGGGCTCGCAGCCGGCTGATCAGGAGAGACCCCTCAATCGTCATGCTCAGTTCAACAATGTCGTGAATATGAATTAATACCGGTCGCGTACGAGGCGGTGTAGACCCAACTCCTGCGGATCGAATGATTTGATCCAAAATTTTGTCAATCTTGAGGTTTTCCCATTTACTAAAACTTTCATAATCTCCTTGACGTAATTTCTGAAGCTCCTCCACCACACCTGAGGGGCCCGAACTACCCGTGGCGATGCCAACTTCTGCATCAGAGTCTTCATCTTGGCTCTCAAATGGCTTATCATCTCGACTTCGCGCCATCTTCCCACTCAATTCGGCGACTCTAAAACCCAGCATTGAGAGGGGTGTGCGAGAATAAGCCCAATTCTGGCCTAGATAATCGCCAACCAGCTCTGAAAGATCATACGCATCCAAGTGAACCAGGTCTGCACCGCTGTAGTGTGCAAAATGTCTGCCGATTGCTTCTGATATGGATTTCCCCCCGTATCCAAACATCGAAAAGACTGTAATTGGCCTCTTGCTCGTTTTGTGATCGAACGTTGGTGATGGCGATGCGAAAAGTTCGCGGTTAATCATCGTTCGTAGAGCAATGAACGTATCAGCGGGGAGGTCAGCGATGATATGCGGTAAGGCATAATCATATCGCTCTGCAAAATCAAGTTGATCATTCAAAGAACTAGAGGCAGCAAGTGGAGAGCATTGATCATGGCGAGCCGGTGTACCACCTTTAAGAACTTTAAGAACATGAGACCACCAGAAAGGTCGAACTCTGTAGCCATGTTCAAATTGACGGGTTGGATATATGGAATCAATTAGACAATTGGAAGATTCAATGATCATATCCCCAACCCGCACTGCGCGCGCTATAGTCTCCGTAGATTCCCATCTTCTGTCATCCTGGTCTAAACGGGAATTTTCCAGATCTATCGCGAGCTCGCCGCTCCGAATAAAGAGGTGTCTCAATGCTGTCTCGAAATATGTTTCCAGTGCCTCGTATTTCTTTTTGAAGGAAGGTCCTTGCTCAGCAATAGCTTGAAATAATTTCTCATGCCTTGCATCTTCTGCCAGCGCAATAGGAAGCTGTGGCCGTTCCTGGGCTCCGTAGAGTGATAGATTATTCTGCAGAAACATTTGCGATAATTCAACAGGCGGCAGAGCAGTCACTTGTCTCTTTCGTTGCTGGCGTGTCCTTATAGGCCCAGCCGCGTGTCCCCTCCAGCGTCCACCAGATGATTCTGTGCCGGTTTGGTTTTCAAGCTCGTCGCCATGATCCGCTGAGTCTTCGACAGGCTTGGAGCCATTTCCTCCACTGCGGCTGTTCAACTGGACGGCGGACGAATGGAGGGTTCGTGTAATACGTGATGATAGCCGGACGGCCAATGGAACCATCGGCAGGATTCCGGCAGTCTGTGTATGCATCCGATCGAATGGCTAGCAAAGGATCAAGCGCATAGCTCACCGTCAATCATGATCCAGTAGTTGGTCGAACTGGTGGACCATCGACGTACAGATTAGGCCCTGCATGGAATAAAGTAAACCCAAATGCAATTGAAAAATTAATAGTGCTAGGTATCTCCCACTTACCTAACGCAATTTCTAGCTATCTAAGTAGAAAATAACTCGAGAAAAAAAACCAATATTCTTAGTAAGTAGGGAAGATTAATATGATTAAAGCATAAAGAGCGTTTGACAAATTAAACGATTATTTAATATTTGTTTAACTTATTTCAAAATTCAAAACAGCAAATGAATCCAGTACCTTTTTGCCTTGTATAAGGTGCCATGGGATGGTAAGGCTATTCTTAGCTTCAGCAGCACTAGAGCTCCAGATGCATGCGCGCTATGACATCCTGGTGGGGCTTTTACCGTTAACATAGACGCGATGCATTCACGTTTCTCGCCTCATGGAAGCAATGTTTCCTGACAATGTCTGACTGGAGAGAGCGTGGCGAAGTAGCAGACTCCGAAGACGAGGGCGAATTCTCAAGCGATGATGAATCGCCAGCCATTTCGCCGACGCAATTGGCAACGAAGGCCTCAACCTCGAAGAACCAATTAGCTGAAAGTATATGGGATTTTCCCGGATCTGATGATGACGAGCAGAGTCGCGTCCCTATCTCGAAGGCATCTCCAGTGTCGTCGAGACCAGGTTTGGGAGAATTGAACCAGCCTTTAAACACTTCGCCATCTCGAACGGAGGATATTGTTCAAAGTCTGGTTCAGCCATCGCCTCTGGAGAAAGCAGGAACAAATCCCCCATCTGATGTTTTCACTGTCGACGACGTTGTCTCCCGCAACAGCCATAGTACATTGGGCGCCTCCAGCCCCAAATCCAGAAGTACCACACCAGCCCAAAATGACGGCATCAACACGTCTGTTTCATCACCTTCGATGTCGCCAAATGCCACGGCGACGGATCAGAGAAGCGAGGTTGGACAGCATGGTCCTCATTGGGAAACCACAGCGGCTACGTCGTCCCGCCATACGCGTTCTTTACGACAAAGAAAGCCCCAGCAGCAATATCCCTATTCCTATGATAACGTATATTACAGAAAGTTTTTCCCACAACTTGGTGTTAAACCCATGAGATTACCAACTGACATAGGAGGAAGACATCAACTAGCAGGAGCTTTGCCGGACGAAAATCTTGATCAGTACAGCCCGAGTGACGGTTTGCCGCCAGGAACCGATAGAACGGATGACGGCAGCTTTGCAGCTACCCAGAGTGAACATGATGAGCTGGATATAGCTACAGCCTCTTTGGACCTATCACGGTCACGTAAACCATCGGCTGCCAGCAGCTTAGCTAGCTCAGCAACCGATACTGTTGGTCATGATGCTCTCGACCAAGATTTGCCAGGCCTAGATGAGCTACTAAATGCACACTCGCCCGCTAGCGAAGATAACATTGCAAACCATAAAACATCTCAAGTTTTGCGACTCACACAGAGAGCCAGAAGGCGAGATATTATCTATAGCGATCCACCAGAACCAATGACTACAATTTCCCGAAGATCAGTCTCTCCTAGTCGCCCCTCAGTGTCTCCAGATTTAGATACACAGCAAATTCCACAATCAAGATCCAATATCCCCATTGACTGGGATGACCCTTTCACGGAACTAATACCAAGGCCTTTAGTTTCTGCAACTCCAATAGAAGTGTCTTCTCAGGAGCCAGACAATCAGGATGAGCATGACCAACCAGGGTACAGTGAAGATTCTGAGACTGGAGATGAAACTGAAAGCGACGCATATCAGCTGGTGACTACGTACCGGCGCCGCATCAAAGGCGTTCTTCCCGCTTCTTGGCTGAGACTAGACCAGCAGCTGAGTAAAAATAACGATCGCCAAGGTCCCAAGAAGAGGACACAGCATCGGCATCCCAACGAGCAGCAACGTGGTGTGGCACTGAAAAAGAAGTCAATCTCTGATTCTACCGCTGTCCCCCTTCTCCCACTGGAATTGAATCAAGAAACTCTTGCAGACTATATGACAGATGATACATCTGAACGTCAAGCCGAGGGATCTGCCTCAACTCCTATTTCTAGTCAAGAAGTCAAACAGGTCGATGACATGCCAGTGATTGTTGGCAGTAAACGTCAGCTCCAGCTTCCTAAGGCGACAGTATCAGGCAGAAAACGAACTAAATTGTCAACTGGATCTCGGGTCAGATCCGGCCAAACTCGTGGAAAACAAATGACCATGGACGGCTTTCTTCTCTCTCAATCCAATGTATTACCTGAATCACCGGCCATTGGTCAATTCTCGAATAATGCTTCGCAAAAGCCAAAAAGTAAGCATAGAAAGTCATCTAACAGACGAAGACCTCGAATGGAATCTATCCCCCTGTTGAGTATTCTTGATACAATAGAGCCAGGCGCCCCTAGGTTTATACGTATTGCTGCACGCTCTGCTAAGCAAACACTCAATCAGGGGCGTAGCAATGTGCAGCAAAAAGTCATCAAGCTCGCTACAAGGCAGGACCAGGTGGACGCTATATCTACATTGGAAAAATGGAAATCAGGCACAATTCATCAGCGACCATCAGTATCGATAGCCAGCAAGTCTAAACAAATGCAATGCCAAAGAGCAAACATGGGTCAGGAGATATCTAGTGTTGGGTCAACTTCAGAGCCCAAATTCAACACACTAAGAAACTCTTCCCGGCGGTTGGTTAAATATCTCGATGGAAGCGGTTCGGCTGGGTACAGACGAAGTGATTCATACCGAAATAACATCACGGGGCCTCAGCCTAATATGGGTGAGACGAGTCCTTTACCTTTACCTGCACCCGTTTCCCGAGCTGCTCAATTGGAGACGGATGAAAGAGCGAGGAGAGCCAGAATGTCATTTACTTCCAGGAAAGGGACCTTAGATCATATCTTCAGAGCTCAAAAACGAAAGGGGTCCAGTTGGCGTTTAACTGGCAATATCAACGCTATAGCTACAAGCTCAACGTCCACAAATCTCACCAGAGCAGAGCATGCAACGGTAGAGGAGCCCCAGGAACCAGTGAACACTCAATCAAGACCTCAGCGATTTCGGAAAAGCATTAAACCTCGTCGGATTGATGTCAAAGCACCCCAATATACCCATGCTCACGATCCTCTTCCTATACATTCCTCTGTTGTGGACACTGAATCTCTGCATGAAAAGAGCAAGCTCTCCGGTCTGGCGCCCTATGGCTATCAATACACTAGTCACTTTGAGATATTTCCTTTCATGCCTGATGTTCGATTTCATGAATCAACTTTTCTTGGCAGCGGCATTCTGACGAAATTATGGATGGGAGATTCAGACTTAAATATACCCAGTCATAAAATACGAGTCTCAGTCAGCTTTGGCGAGCATGTCTTTGACTGGGGATCTTGGAATGAGAAAGTATCCTCAGAGACTGGAATTTTATTTGATTCAATAGCTGAGCTATTAGAAGACGGCCAACGATCCAGTACATATAATGATAACAGCGCTATCAATGCTATTCATTCGACCTTGGAATACATGAGAGGTGCTCTGAACTCAGTGACGTCTGAGTCACCAATACCCCTCCTCATATCGCGACTGCAGGAGGTTTTCCACAACTTCGTTGCTCGAATAGAGACAGGGCTAGACCGGTCGTTAATTAATTACGCCAAAGACAGTAACCTTATCTTGAAAATGCTTGACGGGGTCTTGTTAGCATCTTCCCTATTGATGCATACTTGTCAAAAAGTACCACAGTTAGCGGACCAACAACCCGCTGTGGAAGGATTGCTATTGTCACTATCGCAGTTGATGATTTCGATACTTCTCCGCGGCGGTCTTGACCAGGTCAAACAGGTGTACAACGACCTTGGCCAACTCAATCGCCGCGATCGTACGTTAAGAGGAAGTGCCGTTGCAGTACATTCGTGGACACTTTTAATACGAATATTCGAATATATAAGCCCACAACAACTCTCTTTCTGGGGCGTATTGCAGAGAGTCATACTGCAGCCTCATGTTCTTTCTGGCACCGATGTCCTTGAATTCGAAATGGTCTGGGAGACTATGTTCACACTCCTTCCATTATTTAAATTTGATAACACTGGGAGAATAGTTACGGAAGAATTTCGTGACAAAAGTGCTCAAGGATGGGCAATACCACAAAAACTTATCCGACGAGTCTTTCAATTGTATCAGGACAACAATCATCAAGCTGCGAACTTCAATAGCTACTGTCGGGCTCTAATTTCACGATGCCACTATTTGGTTCAGCAATGGGGCTGGTTTCATAGCGCGCCCGTCGTCGGTGTCATATTTGATTTCTTTGGATCTCAAAAGCTTGCAAATCTACGCAATGAAGAAGTTTACCGATCTCCAAGATTCATGAACAATCTATCTGGTAGGCCAGTGCTTGAGATTGAGGCAGATGACTGCTGCTTTCACATATTTCTCAAACTTCTTGCCGCAAGCATCAGAAAACTCCGAGTGTTCGGCTCTGAGAAGGATATCCGTAACCTAGTGACTCGAACAATACCAAATCATAGCCGATTGTATCTCAAGGAACACAAAATTCTTGAGCGAGATTTGGCTGCTTTAAGAAATCATCATGACCTCATTGGTACACTCTTCTGGGCAGCACCACCCGGCGTCCGACCTCAAATAACTCTTATTGAAGGGCTTATTACTCCTGCTAGTTCTCACAAGGAGGCATGCTTGATAAACATTAGAGCATGGGCTCAGCTTGCGAGCTTTATCGTTTCTTCCGGCGAAGCTAAAAAGTCCTTTGAACCATTCAGAGAATGGAGACACACATTCTTTCAGGAGATGATAATGCAATTTGATGGCATTGCAGCAGAGATCCATCAGCAGAATCTGGCTTTGTCCAAAAGTACGGATCAGTGCGTTCCACAGGATGTTGTGGAGGCTATGATTTCACAGAATAAAGCGGCTGTTGTAGAGACGCTCTATTTATCATTTACAGCTTCAGCAAATGTAATGAGAGAAGCTCTAGATTTAGAGGCAGCGACGTACTGCTTGAACACGCCTCACTTGGAACGGATTTTCCAATATTTCACCGTGCCACTACCCGAGCTTGATTGGTCGATTTTACGAGTAGCATTGGCTATATTGGATATATTCGTGTCCAAAATCGAAGAATTTAGACGTAGCCAGGAAAGCCAGCAGGGTGAGAGTCAAATCTTAGACTCTGCGCAAGCAGACGATGCATTCCTGATCCTAGAGCAGGACATTTCTCGGACTTACTTTGCAATGGCGCGATGCATATTGTCATTTCCAACAGAAATGCCCGATCAGCCAAAGGCAGATACGGCCGACAAGGCCTTTTGCGTTAGACAGGTCATTACATTATCCGCGAGAATAGGGATAGGCTTCAATAACTGTGGCCTCCTAAATCTTTCAGATATATTTCAGCCTGGCAAGTTTTGCCTTTTTAGCGACGATCAGCATCTACTGGATTTATCTCAACGGCAAGCTTTTATATCGCTCACATCCACTCTATTGGACCATGGGTTTGATGACTTTTCTGACGCCGGTTTTACCGTTCCAGAAGTATGGGTAGCAGCATTAATCACGCCTCTCAAATATTTAAAGTACGAGAAACTCATTGCTTTACAAAGTTATTGTTCTGCTAAAGGCATTGTGCCCGATAACATAATCGACTCAACGACTCAGCTTAGCTACAAAACAAATAAACAACTGTTCGACCTCACAGTTTCGTCATTGCGCAAAATTACTCGCAGCTTGGAGCCTAGCACTGGACGACCCCTCGCTAAACTACTTGAGCTTGCAATGAGGCTGATGCAACACGACTTAGGTGTCATGTATACAGACGCTTCTCAGCATCAGAACTACGTTGTCTTCGTCCAAGGCATTATATCGTCAGTTAGGGCACACGGATCAGGTTTATGCATGGTGGACAGCTTCTTCCTTCAAGTCAGCAAGGAGTATTCACCACCCATTCAGGACCCGCACCTTCAAATCGCAAGTATGCTATCGTATGGCATTCTGATAGAAGAAGGGGAAGAGGCTAGACCAGCTAAGCAGCTGTTCTTCCTATTGCTTAGCAACTTCAAACACGCATTGGCAAATGGTAACCCCACAGATGATGCCAGAATGCTCCGAAAAGGCATGAAGCATAAAAGCATATTAGCATTTGTGCTAGGGATGATGCTCCCAGCCATCATCCGTGTCTCATTTGCACTGAGCTCTTGCTTTCCTCTGTTAGATGTCTACGCAACGGCTCTGCGGCTACTTTTAAAGGGACGAATATTATCACAGCAGCTTGATGAAAGTGACCTTATTCATGTTAGCGTTACAATCCATGCCATTGTGGAAGGAATGAGACAAATGCGTCTTGGCCGTGAGATTCCATCTGGCCCCCGAATTCATGTTCTAGGGCAGGCGATGAATATCCTAAACCTGCTATGGCCATCGCTATTAATTGCCAATGCGCAGTGGCCTCGTAACCCATGGCTCATTAACATAGCTTGCAAGCTTCGCGATATTGCTTCCTTTACGGAAGTCGCTCAGCCATACCTTCGTGATATAACTGAGATGGGAAACGATTCACTTGAGAGCGATCTGCTATTTGAGGGCCTTGAAATCGAACATCCGCACACCTTTAACGCACATGTGGATTATTTCACTAATTCCATTGAGGAAGATATTAAAAGGAATTGGACAATTACGTCACAGCGAATCTTAGTACAAGTACCCTTAAAAGGCAAAGGACAAAGCGAGCAAAAAGGCAATGGGATAGTGAATCCATCTTGGTTAGAAAGGGATCTTATACTTAAAGTATATAATGAAATTAGGGAATGGAATAGTTGGTGGATTAGACTAAATAGAGGAGTACCTTACTATTACTTTACTATCCCTGAAGGATTACTAGAGTTTTATTATAAGGATATAATTTTTTAAAAACTATATAAAGTTTAATAAAATTTAAACTTATTTTTCATTTAATTATATCAGTTTTAAAAAGCTTATAAAGATTAATAAAAAATTTATATAGTTTTAATATTATAATTAATTAAATAAAAATAAATTCTTTATAAATTTAATATTTTATTTAATTTAATTTATTTATAATATATTAATTATATTTAATTAGATTATTTTAATTTAAATATATTTATTATTATAATTTAATTCCTTAAGGAATATAATATAATATATACTTTAAAATATTTTTAAATATAAATATAATTAAAGAAATATTGATAATATATTAATAATTTTTATAAAATAATTTATTAAATAATTTAAATAATTAATTATAAAAATATAATAATATTAAATATAAATTATATTTTATATATAAATTATATAATTATATAATTATAAAATATATTTAATAATAAATATTTTATTTTATTTTTTAATATAAATATATATATTTATCTTTTAAAAAATATTATTTTATAAAAATAATTTAAAAATTAAAAATTAAAATACTATATATTAATAATTTTAATTTAAATTAAAATTATATTTAATAATTAAATAATAATAAAATAATAATTAATAATAAAAAACTTTAAATATTATTAAAAATTAATTTAATATAATTATATTTTTTAATAATTTAAATTATTTAAAATTAAAATTAAAATATTTAAAAATTATTTTTATATATTAAAAATTAAAATAAAACTTAAATAATTTAAATTTTATTAAATAAATTAAGAATAAATAAATTTTTTTTTATATAATTTTAAATTTATTATTTATTTAATATTATTAAAATTATAACTAAAGTATTATTAATAATTATTTAATTTAAATTAAATTATTTAATTATAAATATAAAAGTTTTTAAATAATAATATTAAAATTTTATATATAATAATTTATTTAAAATATATTATAAAAATAAATTGAATTAAAAATTTAAAATTATTTTAAAAATTTAAGTATTATAAATAATATAAATAATATAAAATAATAAATTTTTAAAAATATAAAAATAATAAAAATAATAAAAATAATAAAAATAATAAAAATAATAAAAATAATAAAAATAATAAAAATAATAAAAATAATAAAAATAATAAAAATAATAAAAATAATAAAAATAATAAAAATAA